ATGATCACTGTCGCAGTGCCATGCCATGCATGCTGCAGGCAACAATCTGCATTACCTGTGACTTGATTGCCGCAGGAGTGACACAGCATCCCGTAAAGAGCCTGTAGCCCCCTGAATGGTCTCTTCAGACTCTAAGATGTGCATTCAGACTGTAAGATGTGCATGTACTGCAGTGCACGGGGAAGTCTTCGCAGACCAACTACAACTACAAGTAGTGCAATTTTGGTTTTAAACCATACTTAACCCCTTTAGATAGCATAGCGCTTGCCAAGGAAAGAAGGTGCGGAACTGCTTATCCCGCTGGAAGGTTGTTACAGTGTACTTGAAAAATGCTAGTTTGCCTTCATCGCCTGCCACCTGGAGGCATGGGTCGCTTGAAAACGAAGTTTCTAGACCTGAATTTAAACGCGGGTCTGGTTCAGCGCATTGTTGAGTGAAGGGTCTGCCTCAAACTGATGGAGACGCTGACCTTAGCTGCAAGTGCAGCGAAGCGGGAGGCCACAAACTAGAGCTTGGTCTGTCGACACTGCTCTGCCTCAAGTTCTAGTTGATTTCTTTGCCCTTCGAGTGGACAAAATAGATTGAAAAATCGCTCTGGGAAACGACAATTTTAATGACACGGAGGAAGAACTATAAAAGTCGCATCAACCACACGTGATTCGTGTTACAAGAATAAGATGAAGTACAGCTTCGAAATTTTGAATATTCCGTAGTTGTTCGACAAGAAAAATGGACCAGAACAGAAACGAAGAGAAGTTGAAACAAGTCAGTAGCAAGGGTTCTTAAGAACCTTCACTGCTTTGGCCACTTGCTCTTGACAGGCTTGAGGGCATCGTGTTCAGGAAATGTGCTTACAAGGTGCTGCTGAGAAAATAATATTGCTTGCAGACGCTGAAGATTGCTTCGAATCGAATGGAAATTGCGATGAAGACCATTGAATTCTGCATGAATGCTCTCACTTCCTTGCTCGGCAAGAAGAGCGATGCCAACTCTGAGCTGCTTGATGGCGGGAACAGTGTTCTCTTCCAGCACATGTACTGATGTAGTTTGGGAGTGATGTGGCTGAGCTGACGCTGGACGACATGCGTGCGACAGAGACCAAGACATTTCTCGACTTGCTGCTGCAAGGATGCTATGTCTTGGCCAGTCACGTTCGCAGAGTGGTTGTAGAGGGACCTGCAGGCTGCATATGACTTCAGCAGAGACTGGTAACGGCGCTGGATGTTCTCAGTTTGTGGAAGCAATGCTGGGTGCCGCTGGGTGATGATCGAGGTCGGACTGGAAGTCAGTGCAAGGATCACAATCATCCTGCAGAGCTAGGTGGACATGATTCCCTACAAAAGCACCACCATGTCCACTAGACCTGGAAAGTATACTACTGCACTTGCCATGATGACTTCACCAGTACTGGGCTATTTACGCTTTGAGGGGCGGCCACGTTTGGTTTGCTTGAATGATGAACATGCCGTGCAGTTGGTGCGGTGATGGGGGTACCATGCACTTACAGGAGTGCAACCACCCGATGGTTTTGCTTGCGGTCGACTCAGAACCCGTTGGCAGTTGACACATAAGTACTGAGGATGAACTTGTGGGTCATCTGTCGAAATATTGATGCCGAATTTTGACCAAAGGTGGTCTTTAAATTTTCCTCGCAGGGTATTTGGTGGACTGGCTACACGACGTGAACTTTTTGCCACCCACACAACACATTTGGTCCAAAAACGCAGCATGCTGGTCCGTAATTTCAGAAAACCTGTTGGAAACGTGGGGAGAAAAGTGGATTGTGAAGGTGCTTAGAAATACTATATTCGAATGAACTTTCTGCAGGGGGTAGATCGATATTTACCATGTCCAGGAAAAATACTCGTTTGTCACTGAACAATCGGTACAGCAAGGAAGACGACCTGTTATTGAGTGGTGATAATGTCCACCACGAATAAGTCGCAGCAAGAACGAAGTCGGCGAGAATGGCTGAAACAGCAACAAGAAAGATGAGAATGGTCGAGTGTGTGGTACCAACCCGAAGCAAAGTTTTCCGCGGATCGAAAACCGGGAGTTTCAGGTAAACCAGGTCGAATAGGACGGAATAAGACTGTGATTTGAGTGGCGAAATGTGTTGCTTCGACACGCTATTCTCAGTGTCTTCTCAGTGCAACATTTTTGAAAATTTGAAAATTATGTGATTTTTGCCGTTTTGAGGAGTGGCACCGATTCGCGAAAGAAAGCAGCCGTGCCGGGTCAATTACTGATATGCCGCCAAAAGTCCACTTGTACAGCCCTGTACGATCACGTGAAAACTTTTGCTTGAAATTTGCCTTTGCATTGCTGTTCAAACCTGGCGCGAGATACTGTAGAACGGGTAATTTTAGATCTACTCATTTTCGCTAAAGTTTCAAGTCGCTAATCCGTTGAGACATTAGTAGTGCACTGGTGATCCGTGAGTAAAATCGCTGCAAATCGCTAAAATAAAACGTCGCTAACCGGTTGACAATGGGAAAACGCTAAAATTAATAGTGGCTAGAATTACCCGTTCTACAGTACCCACAGAAGTACGGTGAGTGCGATTTCTGGATTTCAGCCCTCCCTCAAGGGGTTGAAATCAACCCGGGGCAAAATTTCATCCCGGGTCAAGCGCAATGCGTCATGTAAACACGCCAGGCAATCTGTGTTCATGGCGGGTTGAAACTTGACCCGAATCGAACTCAACCCACGTTGAAACGCCTCATGTAAACACAGCCTCAAGGTCCACAGCTCATGTATTTCTTTGGACAGTACAGTCCATTTCAAAACTATAGACGCGTGAACTCATACGTACGAGCCGTACGTACTGTAGCGCACGACAGCCGTGAGTTTTGCATGAGTGTTTTCTGGTTTTCAGATGTGTTTTTCAGGTTTTTCTTCGTCGCCGCGGGAAATACAAAAGATGCAAAACACGCAAAGTCGCAAATGAAAAGGTGTGAGGAAAGTCTCAAAAGAAATGAAAGTCTCAAATGAATCTTCTTCTTGTTTGCATTTTCTGAGTGCCGGACTGTAATGGCTTCCAAGGCCCGTAAGAATCTCAGTGATGCCGAGAAAGATATGATTAGTCGTGCTCATTGTTTCTTCGAACAAGAGTTGGATTTTGATTGACGCTTGAGTATCCGAAATCCTCGTCGTCGAACTCACCTTGCAACTGGCGTGAGTGAAACCACTGTCACTCGTTGTGTCAGGCGAAGGGAACAGGGAGGCTCAAATCAAATCAAAAAGAGAAAATATAATTATCAACACCACTGTATTTCACCCAACAAGATCCAAAACATGCAGGAAAGAAGAGAAAAAAGGCAGGAGGCGTGATAGGATTCGAATGCCCCACACTTGTACTGGAAATCACGGATCGAAACCACGAGGCTACCAGGACCCGTACAAAAATGCACCCGCGATGGTCTGGGCGCAGCACTGTCTCAGCAGGAGCAAAAATCCGAAACAAACTGGTCAAACCCTTAAAACAAACTGGTCAAACCCTTCAAAACAGAAAATACATGTAAAACCGGAAAACCTGACTTAAAAATAAACTTCAATTGTAGCGAAAACAAAGTATATAGCCAGAATTGTGAAGCGATGCAGAGACGGAATCTGGAGAAAAAACTAAAAATATTTAAATAAATCCCATCGAATTTTGCAAAACACTACGCGTCTATAGTTTTGAAATGGACTGTAGTGTTTGATGTACTAGTTGTCAGACTAGCTGATCAGTAGGGGTGTTGTGCACGTATGCTCCCACCTGTTGTTTTAGCTACACCACCTGCTTTGCAAAGCCCTTCACCAAGGAGGAGGACGAGCTATTGATCAAGTCCGTTGGACTCTTTGTCAACCCGCGGATGGTCTGTAAGTGTTAGCATTGTACAGTAGGTATCGGTTATAGCGTGGGTGTTTGAAAAAAGACTTTCTATTCTTATTTCAGATATTTCTTACACACGATAAATCAAGTGTGACATATCATGTGCATGTGCGCAGAGGCAGGAAGATCATCGTACATGCAATGTAGTGTTACTGTGCATGCGGCTGGTTATAGTCACATAGGCTTACCATGTGGCTATGCAACATGAGTTACATGACCACAACAGTTGAACCTGCAGCACTACGACCCAACGCGAGTCAGATCGGAACTGCATTGGACCAATCTTATTACTACAGGCGATATACTTTGTACTAATCTGGTATGTTTTGCTACACAAAGTCCATTCTTAGGACCGATATATTCTACTGTACGATAAAATTGCTTGTAAGAATAAATGTGCACTTGAAATCCATGTTATGATTATGAAAACATGAGAGTTCATTCTTGTAGGCAGTATATTCTTTTACACAACCACGCTATAACCCATACGCACTGTAGTTATCCTTGCCATGCATTGCTGCAGTACTATTCTATACTGGCTTTGAGACACTCTCCTATGTCAGGAAACATTACCAGAGAGCATAGACGTTTCCCCCCGACCATGTCTTGCAGTTAACTTACTCTTGTCTTCAGACATGACCAGGCAGTCATAGCATCACGAGCAAACGGTACATGAAACAATGGAGGTTTTCTCCCAGGCCGCCCGTTCGAGTCACCTTTTGGGTAGGGTCGATGTGTGCGCACACCACTGCCCTGGGCCATGCTTGGGTCTGTTATGATCGTGGTCACGTGTTGGCTACAAGTATGCCTCTGTGTGTGTGCATGTGTGTGTGCATGTGTCTGTGCATGTGTGTGTGTGCATGTGTGTGTGTGTGCATGTGTGTGTGTGTGTGTGTGTGTGCATGTGTGTGTGCATGTGTGTGTGTGCATGTGTGTGTGCATGTGTGTGTACATGTGTGTGTGCATGTGTGTGTGCATGTGTGCATGTGTGTGTGTGCATGTGTGTGTGTGCATGTGTGTGTGTGCATGTGTGTGTGCATGTGTGTGTGCATGTGAATAACGTTATGGCTTGGTATGCATTCCATCACAGCTTGGGGTGCACTAGTACGCAAGCTGAAGTGGAGTCGGAAGAGCTCTGCACTGTTGGCACGTTGGCGCATTCTCCGAGACGAGGTATGCAATGCATTCAACTATGTTTCACTGTGCAATGCATTCAACGATGTTTCACTGTGCAATGCATTCAACTATGTCTCACTATGCAAGTGTTAACGTCACCAGCAAAGCAAAGCTGAGATGGTAGCAGATCTGCATGATGATAGCGCCACAGTTGTCTGTGGACTTGGTAGACAGTAGGCTAGCGATCCGCTTGTACAGGGCAGAGGCGCATTTGCTCATTCCTCCGCTTATGGCGAACACCGCAGGGACACAGGAAGCATGCTCAACGTGCTGGACTCGTAGCTAGTACGCCCGCTTCTTCTCCTTCTCAGGCAGAACGTGGTTGGACCGCTTCTTCTCCTTCTCAGGCAGAACATGGTTGTAACATGGTTGTAACATGGTTGTAACGTGGTTGTAACGTGGTTGTAACGTGGTTGCAACGTGGTTGTAACGTGGTTGTAACGTGGTTTGACAGATTCAAGGACTAACAAGAGTCTAACACCAGTACATCGATAAAAGTGTCTTCGAATCACCCTCCCCAAATACCGCTCGATACCACATCAAGCCGAGCCTGATCATCTGCAATGGATGTGCGGTACCGGAGGTGCTCACCTGACAAGGGTTGCGCTCAGTTGCAGATATTGTTCAACCAGCACCTTTTGGGCTACTTGCTCTAGCAGCCCAGCGGTAATGTCACGGCCCTCATTGTGTCTGCACAGCAGCATTTCCAAGCCTGTATTCTTGCCCAGGGGTGCGGTGGATGATAGCATAGGACACGCCGATGGAGGAGGCAAACTGTGAGGCAATGGAGGACGGTGCAGTGAGGCCGAGACCACCATGGCGGCAAGGCAAGGAGATCATTTCACACTCCACTACATGTACCGGTCGCTATAGGAAAGCTGGGGATGAACTTGACGGTGACAGCTTGGAGTTGTACGACTCCTTGGCTAACAGCATCATCCACACTTGTAGTGCCACCAGGTACTCTGCTATCTCTGGCATAGTCCAGCGGATAAGTGTCCATTCCCCACAATACGTTTCAAGCTGGTCATCACTCACACCTGATAGTTGCATTGTAACCGGTCGCGTGGCCCAACGGATAAGGCGCCTGACTACGAATCAGGAGATTCCAGGTTCGAATCCTGGCGTGATCGTATTTTTTGTTTTACCAAAAGATTTTACTCCGCAAAGTTCAGTCAGTCGACCATTCAGATGATCACGCATTGGACGACCGCGAATGGTTCTAATGCTGAGTTTTTTTTCAGATTTGTTTTGGCAATCCAGTGTGAATGCTTTTTGATTTGAATTCTGGATATCTGATCCTGTAATGTGAATCACCAAAAACAAGAATTAGCTTGAACACGTCCTGGGGTTTCATCTTCTTTAAAAAAAAAGAACAATGCACAAAGGAGAACATGCACTGTCAACTGCTAGACTTGTAGACTCATGCTTGACTGTACTTTATTTTATTTTGCTTTGTATGGCGTACGACTTGCATGCACACGCTCTCTTCACCTGACCTCGTGGCTGCAAGCTCGATGACTTTGCACTTGGACACAAACTAGCCTAGTGTACTTAGCAATTGCAGGAATCCGCTTTCTCCGTGCATTCATTCAATCATACATGCATGTTTGCTTTGTGTGTGTGTGTGTGTGTGTGTGTGTGTGTGTGTGTGTGTGTGTGTGTGTGTGTGTGTGTGTGTGTGTGTGTGTGTGTGTGTGTGTGTGCATGCACATCAGAATCGCGAGAAAGAAGCGAATGAGGTGGCGAAGGAGTCGGAGAATAGGAGTGCTCCCGGTGCTATGTCGGGTCTGCCAACACTGAAACCGAACATGCGAATTGGAGTAAGTGCCCTCCTCTCCCCCCCCCCCCTCCCCATGCTTTCATGTAGTGTTTTCTGTAGTTGTACCTTTGGTGCATAGTTTGTTGGTCATGGTGGTAAAGCCACCTTCTGCGTGGGAGCAATTCGTCACTTTGAGGAATGTTTAGGTATATGTCGTCTTGCAGTACAGGTTGAATCCTTATAATTATTTGAACATTGTTGTGTTGGTGCTTGCCTAGTTGCTAACACATGTACTCCATGTTGTCCACTAACCGACTGCAGGAATTGCTCAACCGGCGAAAGTTTGGCTACCGCTCTTCTGACAGACTCCTGGCCAAGGTGCAGGCGGAAACACAGGCAGCGGTGCATGAGAAGTCACTGCAGCTCCTGCAGCAGACCAAGGCGCGACAGCGGACGCGCCAGCTGAATGCTACTCTGCAACGCGATAAAGTCAGCGCGGCGCGCAAGAAGGCCACCCCTGCTAGTGCGGTTAAGACGGAAGAACAGGCCGAGGAAGCCACTGTGGTTCGCAAGAGGATCTCAAGAACCCTTCTGCCCGCGGGGAACTCGTTCGTGCAGCCTGTGAAGCGTGCAGCACACGCCACTGCATCACGCACCCCTGCAGTAAGTGACTGGTTGAAGTCGCCGTAGTACTTGCAGCTGTGTAGGAATATTGTCTTCTCACTGCATACCAGTATACACTGAGGAAACGTATCACACCCAGCTGAACACCCAGCTGAACACCCAGCTGAACACCCAGCTGAACACCCAGCTGAACACCCAGCTGAACACCCAGCTGAACACCCAGCTGAACACCCAGCTGAAGGCAGTTGCTGTGTGAGCAGCTGTCATTAGCAAGTGCTTCAAGAGTAAATGAAAGTGCTTATTTTTTTTATACTGAAGTGCACAGTCCAGCAGAGAACGGAATGGGAAGACAGAACCAAGAGGAAAACATGACAATACAGCGGGAAGCTGGAGCAGCGTGCTGGTGGCCTACGTCCCCCGACCATGGGTCTCGGGATCAGCGGCAGGACCAAGCACCAAATACAAAAAAATTAAGTAGAACAGAAAAAAATGAGCAAGTATCACGGTGTGATGTAAGGAAACAGAAATTAATGAGATCATCCGGGCGAGTTGCCTGGTGTTGCAGATGTGGTACAGAGACTCGGGGGGGGGGGAGAGAGAGAGAGAGAGAGAGAGAGAGAGAGAGAGAGAGAGAGAGAGAGAGAGAGAGAGAGAGAGAGAGAGAGAGAGACAAAGGGAGAGAGAGAGAAAGAGAGAGAGAGAGAGAGAGAGAGAGAGAGAGACGAAGGGAGAGAGAGAGAGAGAGACGGAGGGAGAGAAAGAGAGAGAGAAAGACGAAGGGAGAGAGAGAGAGAGGGAGAGAGAGAGAGAGAGAGAGAGAGAGAGAGAGAGAGAGAGAGAGAGAGAGAGTCCACCAGCATGGGTTGGTTGCCCGGATGATGAGCGCCTTGGAAGGGATGAATGCCGCCATACCTGCCAGAATCCGGCCTGTGATTCATGCACATAGAGTGGTAGGGTCACTGGTGGCCTGAGTCATATGGGACCAGCCTGTGCTGCGGTAGAATGCTTTGAGGTGCCCCCAGTCGGCTTGATGGTAACGCCAGACTTTTCGGGTATATATATGTGTAGTGCCTGCCAACTTGCACGTGTCTGAAGCACTTTGGACTTATATCAGAAAGTGATACAAGCTGACAGCACTAGCGGGAGGAATACATGCTCTTAGGCTTCACACCTCTTTACTTCACAATTCCACACAGAACTGGAAGAGAAGTATGGGATTATATAGGCCAGAGAGTGCAGCTAGGCTGGTGGTGAGGGCAAGGAAAGCAGTAGGGCAACAGGACTAGAAACAATGTGGGAGGAAGAATGGATCTAAGGAGCGAGCAACAGTTACGCAGCAGGAATGACATCTAAAACTGTGTAGGGAAAGGAAAGTGAATTGTAGGGCGTTATGAATACCGAGAAACACAGCTGTTCCAAGAAGCATGTGGATACTACATATGTTGCCTTCAGATCAAAGTGGTCGGGTGGCTTGCCAAACTCTAGTTTCAGAGGAAGACTTTCCAGCGCACAAGGACGTCACAAAGCTTGCTGGTCGCGTGGCTGACTGACTAAGACAAGAGTCTCACACGCCTGAATTGCTACGTGAAACGGCCGGGGACAGTCCGGATAAATCAGAGCAGATCGGTTGTACAGACTTCCCACATGCGTGTAGCTTAAGCAATACATTAGCTCTACTGCATGTACATTTGGTGATGCTTTATCGGCTCTACACGTACCCGTGTACCCTGGCTACTGTTAGCTGTTCACTTCTGTATATGCATGTGTTCCTAGGTGCTGATGTTGTTAGGTATGTCCTGTGATAGGCAATAGTTCAATGTATGTCCTGTGATAGGCAATAGTTCAATGTATGTCCTGTGATAGGCAATAGTTCAATGTATGTCCTGTGATAGGCAATAGTTCAATGTATGTCCTGTGATAGGCAATAGTTCAATGTATGTCCTGTGATAGGCAATAGTTCAATGTATGTCCTGTGATAGGCAATAGTTCAATGTATGTCCTGTGATAGGCAATACTAGTAGTTCAATGCAGCCGGGCTTTGTTTCGTGTCTGGCAAGGCAGATGTGCGCTGGGTCTATTCCTGCTGTGCATGTTCACTGCATGTTCTGCAGGCGAAGAGACCAAGGCGAAGGCCGGTGTGGCGTGATCCGTTCGTCATGCCAAGTGATGACGAGGAAAGTGAAGTGGCTCTGAGCAGTGACAGTGAGGACAGCGTGCTAGAGTTGAGTGATACTAGTGACAGTGAGTTGGAGCTAACTACTGACGATGGTGATGATGATGATGACGACGATGACGAGCAGGATGAGGAGCAGGATGGTTGTATAGTGAATACTGGTCAAGCAGCATCAGCTGATGACAGTGATGATGACAGTGATGATGTAGCTACCAGTATTCGTGAAGCTACTGCTGCTCATAACAATACAACTACCTCCGATGATGATGCAACCCGGGCTACTCCTGTTGCTGCTGCAACGAGTGCTGGTAGGGTTGCAGCTGGTAGTGCCACCATTACTGTTGACCATGATGACGTAGCGAATGATGATGGTGAATCCAAGATGGACGCGAGCAAAGCTATTGCCGCTGCTGTTCCAGCTGATGTGATAGCGAGTGCTGATGGAGTAGCAGTGAGTGCCAGTGTGGCTGCAGTTGGCAACACAGCAGCAGCAGGAGCAGCAGGAGCTTTGGGTGAGACTTCTGCTAACAATATCAGTGCCAGTGACAGCGGCAGTGCCACTGCTGCTAAAGACACAGCAGTAGGAACAGTAGCAGCAACAAGTACAAGTGTTCGGAAGACCATATACAGTAGAATTTCAGCTGCTCAATCGGATTCAGAGGAGAACAGTGGAAGTGAAACTGATTGGGTTGTGGCGGGTGAAGTCATCAAGCCCCGTTTCTTCACCACCAGTCGTCAACTTGCCATTGCCCAGAGAAACCTGACAACGTCTAGCTCTGCAGCAACCGGTATCCTCAGTACAGAGTTCACACAGGAGCTGAAGCGTCGCTCAGTCGTTGCCACAAAGGCTGCTGCTGCCACGCGGGCTGCAGCTAAATCACGCAGCACCTCAGCTTCCGGCACCGAAGTCTTGCCAAGACCAACTGCATCACAAGGTTTGTTGGACTTTGTTCATTTGTCGACATGCCTGCAATAGATTCACGTCATCACACTCTACTGGTCACATCACGTGTAGTTTTCTCGCCTGATGGACTCTGTGCATGTACAGGTGTATCCAGGCTGGCATAATCCAGCTCACTGTTCGTTACTTAAAGTTATAACCCATCCTGACTTGATGACCCAAGGCCGAAGTATTGGTTGATAACATTTTTTCTTGAATTGCAGTTCAGAGACCAAATTTCGTACTACAATGTGCATGTTCAGTGTTGCTCAATGGTATCTTGGCATCGTGAGTCAACTAGCACCGCTTGCTGTACAGTCCCAGATCTGCAAACATAGTGCAATGCTGGTGCAGGCTGCAAACTCATTGATGAGCCCTGATGTTCTTGAACACGATTGTACGTGGACCGAAGCATACACACAATCCAGTTTTTGCAACTGGTTGTCACTGTTCACTGTGTTAACTCGTTTGCCTTCTCACTGTTCACAGCTCCCCGTCGATACCAGGCTGCTGCCAACAAGGGGAAACGCCTTCCTGCTGGTGCTCATGGTGGTGCAGCGACTTCAGCGGGTATGCTATTTGATATACTGCTTTTAAACTTTTTTTGTACAATTGTGCAGTAAGTTATTGCACCCACGGCGTAGCATTGTTGTCAGCATGCAGTTTATGTTGCTCCATCGCATCTTGCGTTGCTGATGCAATTGTACTTGCAGCGTTAAGACTCATGCTGTCCTTGGCAGTTGTGAGTGTACTCTTCGTTTCTTTAGTTCAAACTCTAACTGACACTGGCTTTGTGATGGGTTAGAGACTTCCCCTCTGAGCACTGTGATGAAACAACAGATAGGGTAATCCCCCCCGGTATGCACGACACAATAGTTGTGTTGAGAGACCAGTTGTGGTACCACTGCAATCATCACCACAACTTGCCACGTGCCCATCGAACAGCACTCTACCAGTGTTCGTACTTTCAAGTGCAAGTGCCCATAGGCCAAGGGTAACCGTATTTGCCGGAGTATAGTGCGCACTTTATATGTACTATTTCAGGCCCCAAATCGCAGTTGCGCACCATGCACCGAATATGAAAAAATGCATGTCCTTCGAAAAGTAGTGCATCAAGCTATTCCGAAGTTTGCCACCTCTGACCCGGCACAAGCCATAATGTGTGCGTTTCTAGTGTCTGCTGCTAATTACACTGCTAATGCATGATGGGTACGAGGCCCCATCGGTAGCACGTGCATTGTACAAATGTAAAACGGTCGAGCTATAGGCTAGCACTGTCTGTATGATCGATAATGCTCCTATGTCTACAGGCTGTGCATTTTACTCCGGGTTATCACTCCCCCCCCCCCTCACGAGACCACGGGAGTCCTGCATGTACACTCACACAATAACCACACAACTGTTTGGGGGTAGCGTGCTTCTTGTATTTGCCAAACTTGACACGCTGAGTCCAGCTTGATTTAGCTGAGTCCCTAAACTGCTATTTACTGCTCTAACATGAAGCCATGTCTGGTAGAAGGGAAAGAGAGAAAACATCTGGCCTTCTGCAAGCTATAACAAGTAAGAAGTGCCGGCTGTGTAAAGCCACACAACCATGAGATCGGCCGGATGACGGTGAGCTTCCAGCACACATCTTGCCCTGCTGCTCCACCTGCGCATACCTGACACGTTGGTGCGCCTGAGCCCCAGAAGCCTCCCTGATGCGCCACGGGGTTCAGTCGAAGCACCTGTGTCACTTCGGTGAGCCAAATGCGAATGTAGCCTTGCCGGTCTGCCGCGTACGCGACCCGCCTGAGGCTGACCCTGCCGCATTGAGCGCTTCTAGACACTGAGGTCCGGTAGATGGCACACTGGGCTGCCTAATACGCGACTGGCTTAAGGACAGTCCCATACTGCACTGCATGGCGCCCAGCTCAGGTCGTCGCACGTGGTAGCTGCGTGAGCTGAGCGCGGTGAGGGTTGGTGACAACTACAGTTTTCCCTTCCGGAAACTTCCATTATACCTTGAATTGCCAAAACGTTGCTCAAAAAAGAGAGGTGCACGTTGCGCGTTATACTCCGGCAAGTACGGTACTTATTCCATTCTTTTTGCCTGACAAATGATACGATTGCGTAGATATCACATACTAGTACATACTTTATCTGTCAAGCCGTGCGTGGAAGGCCTTGGGTTAGGCCCTCATCAGACTACGTACATAGAAAATCCAGTACAAAATCACATAAAACCTAAAAGGCAACATTTTTCCATGCCTGCATTCAGACTCCACATTTTACATGCAGTATACAGGCAACCTTTGACCCTACGAAATTGCGCAAGGGGCCTGGGATGTGTGAAAGCAGCGGACAGTCGTACCCGGGTACAAAGTTCGTACAACTGCCTGGTGAAAGTACGATAAATGCAGGAAAGTTGCCTTGTACAAGGGTTGGCACCCTGCCTGAAAGGATTGGGCAGCTTTTTAGGCTTCCCGCCAGATTCCTGTTGTTGTCTTGGAAACTTCTATGTAAATGTGCCTTATAGGCTGTTTTGTACCTAGTCTGAAGAGGGCCTTAGTAAGTTGCATGTGTCGTGATGAGGGCGTATACAGGTGATTGTATGGTGGTGTAGACCTGCAGTGACTCTGACTCGTGTAGAGCTCGGTGGTGACTTGCGTACCTCTGTATGTTGTGTTATGTATGCTCTGTGTGTGTGTGTGTACGTGTGTGTATGTGTGTGTGTGTGCTCTGTGCATATGCTCTGCGTGCGTGCTCTGTGTTTGCGTGTGGTCATGCGTGCGCACTGGCGGGCGTACTGGCGGGCATACGCACGTGTATCTACGTATGGATTGGGCCATGTGTACAGTTGCGTCAGCTTCAAGCATATTGCAAACTGCTGTTCAGAAGGTATGTTGTTTTGTTGTTTTTGTCTTGACTAGAAGGAAGAGGGTTTCACACCAGCCCATTGATATGGAATCTCCCTGGGTTGCATTAGTGATACGTCTACTACTCTTCAAGGAGGTTTTTTTTTTAATGATGCTATACATTTTTTGGAGCCCTTCAAATTTTAATTATGGTGACACACTGCTTAATTTTAGGATGTAGTATTTGATGTACAGTGCTGCACAATGAAATCCAGTCGCGTCACTCAAGTTTGCGCCTTGCACCATTTCGCAGCGCAGTGTTCGCAGGTCTAGGGCTGTGCAACGCGCGACTGGATTTCATTGAACAGCACTGTGTACATGTGTTAGAACACCTTGCTTTGCCCCCCCCCCCCCCCTTGGCTCTTATGCTGTAAAACAAAGTGACATTGGCCGTGTTGCAGTGCATTATTCCCTGCATCTGCTCTGCAGCATCTGTTGTAGTTCACACTGCTGCTTTGCTGTACTGCTTCTGATGCTCTCAGATGCTTCACAAGGGCATCAGCACCGCTCAAGTTGGCGCGCTGCCCAAGCAAAGTACGTTCCTGCCACCGTCACGGTGCAGTCTGGCCGGCATGGAGCGTGTGTGCAAGCTAAGACATGATCGGGCAGCCATGGCCAGGCACTTGGACAGTATGCGCTCAGCAGTGCAGCATGCGCAGGTTACTCATGCTGCTGCAGCCGTCTCATCCAGCGCTAACGGCAACACCATGCCTGTACAGTCTGTGTCGAATAATGAGATCTCGACACTCTCAGCTCCAGTGGTGCCGCCGCCAATGGCACAACTTGGAGGTGTTGATAGTGGTGGTACGCAGAATGCAACTGCTACTGCTCAACAGTCGAAGAGTGCTGACGCAGATAATAGACCCTCACCAGCTTCAACGGAGGAGTGTATCAGCCACTTGTCACACACTTCCCCAGAGTTTATGTTGCTACAGCGACGCTTCAATGCCGTGTTCCTCACGTCCAACCTGCTGCGTGTACTGCCCTTGCCGGAGCGAGTTACTCACCAGCAGCTGCTGCCTCCAAGCAAGTCTCAACCACCTCCACAGCCCACACCACCTCCACAGCCCACACCACAGCCACAGCAATCCAGCGACGCTACCAGTAAGACATCACCAGTAGCGTCATCCCGTGATAAAGTGGCTACACCGTCCCGTGACGAAATAGCTACACCATCCTGCGATGGAATGGCTACACCATCCCGTGGTGAAATGGCCGCACCATCCCGTGGTGAAATGGCCACACCATCCCGTGGTGAAATGGCCGCACCATCCCGTGGTGAAATGGCCACACCATCCCGTGGTGAAATGGCCGCACCATCCCGTGGTGAAATGGCCACACCATCCCGTGGTGAAATGGCCACACCATCCCGTGACGAAATGGCCACACCATCACGTGGTGAAATGGCCACACCATCATCAGGTATAGCTGCTGCCAGTCCCCCTCTGCCTATACTTTGGTCACCACCTCCTCGCAGAGCTGCTACCGCCGCTGCCAGCAAGATACGGTCCAGTGCTACCAAGTCGTCACGCACGACACCGACGAATGGCACTGCAGACAAGGTAAAGTCGCCTGCGTCAGCACCGCAGGAAGTCACTAAGGCTACGTCTACGAGTGCTGCTTCTGCGACTGTAAGCCCAGCAAAGTCACCGTCACCTCTGAAACCACCGCTGGATACACCACTGGTTACCAGCAAAGCAGCACGACGACGACGGAAGTCGCGTTCTAGCCAGCCCAGTGCAAGTGCCGTGTCTGCTACTGCAGACCAAGCAGACCAAGTAGACCAAGTAGAAGCACTTGAACCACAGTCTGCCGCTAAAGCTATGCCCGCCACCAGACCGCGACGGTCATGTTCCGGTCGGGCTGCTACCACTGCTGTGTCTGCTAATGTGGACAAAACGAAGTCAACATCACCTCCAGAAACACAGGCTGCTGCCATTAAAGCAATGTCCGCTGCCGCTAGAACTCGGCAACCGCGATCTGCTCAGTCTACGGCAAGCGTTGCTGTAACTTCGACATCATCTAATGCCACCGGCAGTGCACTAGCTTCTGCTACAGCATCACCTGTCACTGCCCCAGCCTCACCTGCGGTGGCAATGCTACCCAGCTTGCCGGATGGCAATGTCAACCTTTCTGCCGATATAGTTGCCCAGGCTGCCAACCTCGTGCAGCTGCTGAAAGGCATACCATGTCCGATAGGTCCTCCAGCATGTCCAATAGGTCCTCCAGCATGTCCAATAGGTCCTCCAGCCATGGCAAACATGTCCTGTCCACTTATGGCCCCGCTTAGTCCCTTACAGCCTGTTGGTGGTGGTAACAGCGATTCCGAATCTGAGTCTGACCAAGAAGACTGGTAGCCTGATGACGATGTGCCAGCACCTGCAAAGATATTGAGAATTCCTAGGTGCAGTGGTGTACCCAGGGTGTGTATGTGTGGAACTGTGTACTCGGTGAGGATTCGCTTACTCACACACTGCTTGCAATCAGTGTGCTCGCCTTTTGTCATCTGTGTGTTGATTGTCCTGTATGGCTGCATCCCTCAGTGCTAGCTATTCCCGCTATGACCCTCTTTAGATATACCCACTATCCTCAACTCTCTACAGCTCTACTAGCCCTCGGGCTCTCTATGGTTGTCCAGCGCTAGCTGTTCCCATGGCCACGTCATTGTCGATGCAGTCCTATGTTGGGTACTAGTATTCCCTGCCGACTGTTTTGCTGACAACTGTGTGCAGTCTCCTTTTGTAAACACACTGTGTGTAGACCTTGGGCAAGCACATACACAGTCACTAACCATGCTAACGCTCTACAAGAATACTGTCTACGCAGCAAAGTTCTATCATGTAGGTAAGATTTAGTTTTTTAACTCCAAATTACTTTCCTTGGCTCCATGATCCAGGCGGATTATTTTCGTTCAGACAAATCAATGCCGCCTTGGGAATCCTTCGTTAATCGTTACCCTTGAGAAATGGTCTTGTTTGGAAACTGGCGGCAGTGTGCTAGATGGCGGGGTGTTTTGTTGCTTCAAGCAGGGACTACTCCCAGGTCGCAAGTTACCGGATGTTCACCGTTGACGGTGTGTGCCAGTACTCTGGTAGGGTGGTGTTGGGGTGACGGGAAAGTGCCTTTGCTGACAGCCCTGAGAAGGAACTGCTGTGTGTGTGTGTGTGTGTGTGTGTGTGTGTGTGTGTGTGTGTGTGTGTGTGTGTGTGTGTGTGTGTGTCATGTGGATCACACCCAGTGATAAGATCCACATGGTCATTAATGAGTTTGTGTCACGATGCAAGTAGCAGCATGCTCGCAGTCATTGTGATTGGGTTGCCTTGGACTTGCTTCTGCCTGATTCCTTTAGCGAAGGAGACACCGTACATCCGTCGAAACAGTCTTGTGACTGCATGTGTGTGTGTGTGTGTGTGTGTGTGTGTGTGTGTGTGTGTGTGTGTGTGTGTGTGTGTGTGTGTGTGTGTGTGTGTGTGTGTGTGTGTGTGTGTGTGTGTGTGTGTGTGTGTGTGTGTGTGTGTGTGTGTGTGTGTGTGTGTGTGTGTGTGTGTGTGTGTGTGTGTGTGTGTGTGTGTGTGTGTGTGTGTGTGTGTGTGTGTGTGTGTGTGTGTGTGTGTGTGTGTGTGTGTGTGTGTGTGTGTGTGTGTGTGTGTGTGTGTGTGTGTGTGTGTGTGTGTGTGTGTGTGTGTGTGTGTGTGTGTGTGTGTGTGTGTGTGTGTGTGTGTGTGTGTGTGTGTGTGTGTGTGTGTGTGTGTGTGTGTGTGTGTGTGTGTGTGTGTGTGTGTGTGTGTGTGTGTGTGTGTGTGTGTGTGTGTGTGTGTGTGTGTGTGTGTGTGTGTGTGTGTGTGTGTGTGTGTGTGTGTGTGTGTGTGTGTGTGTGTGTGTGTGTGTGTGTGTGTGTGTGTGTGTGTGTGTGTGTGTGTGTGTGTGTGTGTGTGTGTGTGTGTGTGTGTGTGTGTGTGTGTGTGTGTGTGTGTGTGTCCCATATGGTGCAGTGGTATGTGCAGCGATTTCCAATCGATAGGTTGCGGGTTCGATTCCCGACGATTATGGTCACACACGTCTTTCTTCTCTTTCTCAGACTCTTCCTGACTTTTCTTTCATTCTCCTGGGTGGTTACCAACAGCCAGTGCATGCCGGAGTATGTGGTGTGATGTGTGTGCGGGAAAAAAGAAGAAAAAAAGACCAAAAAGTAGGGATTCACTGGCCAGAAAAAAGCCACTTCAAAGCTGTGTGGTGTAGACCAGGCTGAATAGTGGTGGTCAATTCTTCAGCCTTGCAAGCTGTTGAATGGTGCAATCCCAGCACAAGTTGCTATGGCTTCTGCTGTAGCATCGCTATCATCGCCTCTGGCGATGGGCGTCCAATGGTCAATGGTCAATGGTGTGTGTGTCGATTTCCACCTTCCTGTTTGCTGGTGGTGCCATGCATACTGGCATACTGTAGCTACCTGCGTCGGCGTTCAAGATTTTTTCTGGCCCAGGGTTGACTTAGATGTGTAGGATGATCCTCTCCCCAGTCGCATTCCATGCTTCTTCCTGCTTGCTGGGTTGAATGATTGGCAATTTGGCATGTTGTCTGTGTTCGTACAATGTTTCCCAGGAAATTATAAAATTTAATTGGCAAGAATGCAGCCAATGGGCATGGCCATCACTTGATGACATCAGGCATTGAATACTAGTATGTGCTGTGGGGTCACGCGTGCTATTAATTTTTGTGATCATGATGCATGTAGTAGGTTTGTCATGTGAGATCTACTCAGCAGTCACCGCAGTCACTGCAGTTGTGGGTATTGGCACTGAAGTGATACTGTGCTCCTGCCGCTCTTGCTGCTGCTTCTGCTGCTGCTGCACTGATCTGGCCAGTGGCACTGCGATGTTGTAATTGTACACGTGTTGCTGTGATACTGAATGAATGCACTGGTTGGGGGTTGTACTTCCTGTGAGGCCGTGTCTTGCTGTCATGCATCTGTTGTATGCCGCTCCAGCACTGGACTGGTATTTTCCCAGGGCACAATGGAGGTTTAGATATTCAACATCTGCAGCAGTTGAACACCATGTACATGTAATTCTTACCGGAAAGATTTTGCTGGAGGCAGGGACGTCTTGTATGGGGGGGGGCAATAATAATTCGCTGCCAGGCATGCAAAATATACTACATTATGTAGCTTATTATTTTCCTTGCATAATTATGTCACTGTTGTTGCGAATTGGAATTTTTTCTCGTTCCTTTAAAAAAATGGGTGGTTTGGTGGCCTCACGTGTTTTTCTTGTGGAATGCTTTACAATTACCGTATTGACTACAGTCATGTCGTTCTGTACGGGTTGCATTGTGGAGACTGAAGTGTGTGTGTGTGTGTGTGTGTGTGTGTGTGTGTGTGTGTGTGTGTGTGTGTGTGTGTGTGCGTGCGTGCGTGCGTGTGTGTGATCCAGAGACTCAATGTGGTGTTTTGTTGCACAGAGGATTAGCCATTTTATTGCTAGGATGTGAGCTTTTAGTTATCTGAGCTGTGCTGAAGAGCCACTGTCATCATTATAGGTAGGTAATACTAATAGGGCAAAACCGAGTGGCTGGCCGCAGAGTTGAGTACATGTATGGTTTATCATCATGATGCGACACTGGCTGATTTTGGTTCTCTGCACATGGTGATTCATATCAGGCCTGGCAATGCTTTTACATGTACATTATACTCAGTACCCTCCTCCCCCCCCCCCCCCCCCCCTTGAGGTGTAGGGCAAATGTTCAGCATGGCCCCAGCACACAGCTCATACCCGGCGTACTAGTAACGTTTATATGTACTCAGAAATGGAAACTGCTCGAATAAGGAAGATGAATATTTTGATTGACATAACTCTCAACTGTGAAATGAGTTCAATTGATCTGACCAAGTAGACAATCTTATGATAAAGAGAATAGACACTGTAATGAGACCGCTTGCTGACACATTCCTTTATGACCAGTGCACCAGCCTGTGCACCGAACACGAAGGCAGAAATGTATGATCTGATAAGAGATAAAGAATGGCGCTATTCCATTGAACATGACGAAAACTGTGAAGAAACAGTTTTGATTTCTTCAAGGAATGAAGAAAAGCAACAAGCTGGCAAATCAAGGAAAAAGGTTCTGAAATTCTCGGGTTTGTCCATAGGGCATGAAGCGGTCGGTAATCTTTTCGTCGTGGTTTGTCAGTTTAATCATTGATACATTGGTATGGCTAGAGGTAGCCAGACTGAGTGCCTCGACGCTAGCGAATCGCAAGTCAGGTGCAGTGGGTTTTACAAATATCTTTTCTAAACAGCATGTCAACGAATGGAGGGAGGAATTCGTCAAAGATGATGGAGAAGTCAAGTGGCATCTTGTATGCAGATATGTGTCCAGTTGTGTCAAATATACACAATAGAAGCTCAACAGCTCAAGACCAAGAGAATGCGCAGGCTTCAGGTGACAAGATTATACTAGGACAGTAGGTAGACAGGTTCAACCGGGCGGGCAAATCACTCAATCGTCTTCCATGCCCGTCTCTCCTGTACCTGTGGCAGTACCTTGGTAAGACTGGTTGCCCTGGAGAAAGCGTGAAATGATTCCACCGCTACCTGTGGTGGGTGGCATCGGTGGCAGCGACGGGGGCGATGCAAACGACAACGGCTCGCCGTTCTCGGAGAGGCGTTCCTGGAGGCTCTCCCACGTCTCGTTGACCATTCTCTCAATGTTGCATGTGTACTTGTACACATAGCGCTTGCCACCGACCTTCTGGATGATGTCCTTCTGGTAGTAGTAGCGCAGACCCCGCGACAGCTTGCCGTAGTCCATTTTGGGTTTGTTCTTACGTTCGCCCCAGCGACGAGACACCTCGTCCGGTGAGATCAGCTTGAACTCCCACTTGTTGGGTGACCAGCGAATGCAGTCCTGTGCCTTACGGTCCGTCAGTAGCTCCAGCAGGAACTGCCACAGCTGAATTGGACTATTGCCCGGCGCTGTGCAAAGAAACACAGAGGAGAGAGAGAGAGAGAGAGTTTAGAAAGTTGGGATATGTGTAACACTAGGACACGACACGAGTGCAGATATCTAAGCACAGAGCTCAGTCATTGGTCTGCCATAGTAGCTAAGCAACATGGCTGTCAGCCTGTAGATCTGGGTCAATGACTCGTGTATACTTGTATGTCAGTAGTGTCTAATGTATTGTACTTGGCAAGCCTTTGAAGGGTGCACATTGTTCCAGTAGTGGATTCTAACAGCTTATGCAGTGGAACCTGGCAACCCATTGACTTGGCAAGGCGCACTGCTGATGTACTGGTAGTGTATTGCAAGGGTATGTAGTGGAGCCTAGGATAATACAAGCTACCATTACAGTGGATGGGAAGTGGATCCAACAACATTCGTGTGCATGTGCTGTGGGTGCTCACCAGGTAAATTGTCGCCACACTGTTGCTGATGCTGGGGTAGCTGCTGTTGTGTCTGATCGTTGGCCATAGCCGAGGCAGCAGCACTCTCATCTTCGGCACTAGATTCACCTTCACTCGCTGGTGGCGATGGGCTATTCCCTGTGCTTGTCCGCAGCACATCCAGAATGGAGGAGGACGACGTTGACGCAGATGAGCTGCGTCTCGACTCACCCATTGCCATTGTTGCGCGTGCATTGCCGAACGGCTTGTGCATTGCCATCATGTATGGATGGTACTGCTGTTGCTGCTGCTGCTGCTGTTGTTGTAGTAGCAAAGCCTGTGCATGTGCATGTGGCAGTCCTGGGCTGAAGACTTTGGGACCGACGCAGGACGGGATCAACGAGAACTGCTGTTCGGAATGTGCAGCGGCGAATGGCAGTATTGGGTCAAATTGTGGTAGTTGTTGATGAAATGGCTGGTAGCTCCTTATGTCAAGCACTGATTCAGGCTCACTGGGACTGGGTAGACGCGCAGCAGCCGTACTGCTCATGCATAGGCTGGTGGTGTGTGTGAATTTGTAGCAAACATCAGGGAGGAGGACTCGGAAGAGCAGAGGTTAGCAATAATCCTGGCTGCTTCTTCCACGTCCTCTGGTCGCTCTCTTTCCTGTCGAATGACCTCGTCCAGGCTTCGCTCGAGTCGTTTCTGACGTGCTTTGAGGTCGGTGTGCAGGATATCACCAACAATGCCAGGACAGCGCTGGTGAAAGTCGTGCAGTGTTAGTTGACAGACTTGCTGACCTGTCAGCGGCTGAAACTGCTCCACGTCCAGTGAAGTGATGCTGCACTTGTCCAGGATACTGGCCAGCCAGCTCTGGACGTCCTGCTTGTTCCACTGCTTCGGATCTGCAGTGGCAGCAGGAGGAGATCACACGCACACAGGATACTGGTAACTACACATGGCCGGTGTGTTGCTGCAACATAGCCACTCTGTTGCAAGCCAAGGCTTTTATAGGCAGCAGCTTGAAACTGCCGGCCGAGCATAAGGTAAACAGTTCAAAGCATACCCGATCCACCACTGCACTGCACTACGCTGCACTGCAGTGGATTGTGGGAGGTTTACCTTTGGGTGTGACCTAAATCACCTATAAATGCCGTCGTCCCTAACTAACCCCGGCGTGTTGGAAGGCACATGATTTGCCTGTCCACATGCCAGTCACCAGACCTGTCTAAGCTACTAGTAAACCTTGTCGTGATCATGCCAAGTGAGAGAGTGCGTAGGCTAGTAACAGCACTGACGCAGTGTGTGCGACTGGCTAGCCACCTGATGCTCTACTTCTACAAACCCCTGACCAGCTGGCCTAGGCTTAAGGCGAGTGAAGCCTAGCAATGGCAATTGCTAAACTGTGCTGCCAATGTGCAAGTGTGCGACAGGAGCATGACGCAAGAATTGAGATGACACGCTGTCATCACTGGACATCATGTCAAATCCGCATCAATAGGTTTGCTTGGGTGGCCCTTTGCTGTTGGCAAGCCTCTTGTATTGAAACTAGTGATGACGAGCAACGTTTTCAAAACACTCCTGTCCAATCTTCAGCTTGGATAGTTTTCCATGTAAGTCAGACTTGATACTAGCATTCCAATGCTCCCATAAACTAGTGTTGCGGCTTATTCAATTCACTCCTATCAATAGCTGGAACTTCAGGTTTACTATCTGGTGTGTCATACACGTATTGATCCATTTGGTCAGTTTCTGTATGGTAACAGTGGTTAATCTACATGCGAAGACAGTGGATACATTCTATTCACTGTCTTGGTCACATGCAGCAACACAGTCATGTACATGTTCTTCAGCAAGTACATGACTGTGTTGCTAATAAGTAAATATCCATTGCTGTGGCTTGCAGGTACAGGTGTTGTTTAGAACTGAAGCTGCCTGCATGTGTCAATATTCACTCAATCAAATGTTGCTGTCACCCAATCATCTTTATCATCGCTTCATCATGGTCAACATGATCCCCCACATGCCAGGCAGTATGGAGTCAATGGCAGTAGTCCCAGGAGTTTCAGCTGGGCATCCCTCTGAATGATCCATGTTCTAAGGTGATGATGATTATTGTTTTCTCAGCTAGACCAGGTCATAATCAAGTGTCCACACGTTGACATTCTCTGTTGTTCATCCCTTCACCAGTACTCTATCATTATTATCTTATCCTTAGATACTGCTGCTTGTTGTACTCATGTAGGACCAGTGCCTTCTCTATCCAAGTACCCCAGTCCTTCTCAACTGTCTACCAAGTACCATATCAACACAGACACTGGTTTATCATGAAGTATTACTTCTGTGGGTGTCTGCCCCTACCTTCGCTAAGGGCTGCTTCCACGCCTGTTTCTTCCCCGCTCAGTGACGCCAAGCTCTGCAGGCTTCTCGCTGTGCTGTCGCTGGCGCTACTGCTGGTGCGACTGCGTATCTGGGCTCTTGAGTTCACGTCGTTGCTCGACGTGGATGTGGCATGTCCGCGTGCGTGTGTGCGTGTCGCTGCTGTAGTGAGGTAAAGTGGCTCGTCCAGGGGTGATGTTACCATATCAGTGACAGCGGGGGTAGAGGTGATCTGCAAGGAATTGTTCGGCGTGTTCACGTCACTGTCCGTTGTCCAAAGCGAGCCAAGCGCTGCAGGAAAGAAGGAAATACGAAGAGCAGCAGAAAGTTAGTCTTGACATCATCCATACACCAAATGTAATAACACAATCGTACCGTAATACTCTTGAAGTAATACAATTATTATCAGTGGTAGGAGAGACCATCAGACCCTAATGACCACATATCATTGGGCTGTGAAGATTTGAGGGCAACGAAAGTAATTTCTGAAAAGGGTTTGTGTTCATTCCATCAAAACAATATTTTACTCTGTGGATCAGTTCTCGATTGAAACAGGCAATAAATATCGCCAGGGAGAGCAATTAGGCGGGCACGGGAAGGTGTGGTTGAATTCTTCTCTGTAGAACTGGACCATCTTTCGGACAGAACAAGCCAGCAAGGCTTACAACAAGCCGCGAAGGTTGTTGGTTGCCCAGAACGGTGCGTGCTGAGTCACGCCGCCATGAAGTCTGTGGTGATGTACACCACCTAGCAGTCATCATGGCTATAATTATTGTTCATTCACTAATGATTGTGTTGATCTGCCTATAACACGTGACTAAGTAACGGAATGTCACTCGCCATGCTTGATGTAGCGAATGGACAGAAGAAGGGGATGGTTGGTGATGACCGAGTGACTTCGCTCCTGGCATGGCTCGAAGCAGAAGAAGATAAAGATCTTGACTTCAGTCCGCTACAGCCTAGGCTACAGGCTGTGTCTGACAAAGTGATGGCCGGTGACTCATTTCGTGGGACGCAGGTAAACAACGCAGCAGCTGACTCTAGTCTTGGCAGGTTTACCCTACAACATTCACCATGATTGTGCTGTGGAGTCTACCATACTCCATAGGTAGATCTAATGCGACAAGCCGTAGAAGCAAAGCAAAGAGTAGTCTAGTTGTAAGACCTAGATCTAGTAGGTGAGAAGAGGAATGTGGTCTGTGCATTGGCATCGACAGGTGATGACTGGCATGCGGACGACAGGTCAGGCCGACGTGTGCGCGGGGGTCATCCGGTGAATTTCCAGCGCAATCGAGAGGATGTTGGTGGTCTGTAGGTCCCCAGTAGAGTTAAGGTTGCTTGAGGGCAAGACGAGTAAGGCAAACTGTCATTGCTATTGTGATCTTCAACATAATTATTGCTTGTTGCACGTGTATATTGCAGCACCCAAATATGGAGCGAACTGCCAGGAATGAAGCTGGTAGATTACCACATGTGCACACTGCAGTCTTGGATGACATCATGGACATAACGATGGTCGCTGGTACGGTATGGTGCTGGTATGCCGTTGCTAGTGCTCATAGAGTCGTACAATAGCCAGAGCCTCCATGTTGATCTATGAACGGTAACTTGACTTATTGCACAGTCTGTATCAGTATACCGGTAGTCGAGGACACGATGGTCGACTCTATGCCATGCCCATGGTCAACAAGACTGTATTATTGACGTGGGTACTGGTCATACGGTCCGTGTGCGAAGATTGATAGAGAGATACACACTGCAACTAAGGATAATCACGGCTATGACTGTGATCAAGAGTACAGTCATACACCCTATGGCTATGGCTATGGCTATGGCTGTGCTTTCTTGCTGTGCTGTGATGGGGAGGATGACCTGGCTTGGCCTCTGACTCTGTCCCTGGCAGAGCAATAACTCTGCTTGATTTCTCAAGCCTCTGCACTGCACTGTGATCCCGGTGCATACACAGCACACCGTCTAGATATAGACTACCGACAGTAGAGATGAGTCACTCACTCTGGGACTATGCAGCGTCTGCCAGTGTCAGTGATCAGTGATCTGCGGCATGTTGCAATGACATTATGTGCAGGGTGCACACTATGTGCAGGGTGCACATTATGTGCACACTATGTGCAGGGTGCACACTATGTGCACAATGACGTCACTATGTGCAGGGTGCGCACTGCACAGCTGCATGTAGATAGGAAGAATGATGCCAGTGCAGTGTCAGTGATCGAATGGCGCTGCAACGTCACGTGATTGCACTACACCATCCATAGTCTGTGGAAGCATCCTGCATGGCAGCTTTTCCATAGAATGTTATAGCATAAGCTCGGAGGCGTGGATAGAAAGGAAGTCCCAAAGTACAGGAATCCAAAGCCTGATTTCACTGTACATGTACACAAACCAATCCGTCTCTCGGTCGTCTCGGGTCGTCTCGGGCTGCGGACATACAATGTATGGGCCATGTAAATCATGTGTGGAATACCTTCCCAGACCCTTGGTCTACACTGACTAGCTGAAGTACGTCAACCGCAATGCAATGCATTCTCCATCTCCGTGTGTGTGCTGATTGACTGACTGAACATGCACTTCTGGCACCATATGTACTGCCTGGTACGTATACTGTCCAAAATGCCGGACCAGTCACGTTGGTATGCCAGTGTGAGGCTGGAAGGAGACGACAGAATGCAAGAACAATACTAGTCCTTACTTAATTGTTAGATTGACAGCATGAAACAAGGTGGAGGACACTGTGTTCGAAAACAGTGACCTTACTACAACCTTCCGCAGGGACCGGGGCTCTGCCAACCGCGGAAGGTTGTAGTAAGGTCACTGTTTTCGAACACAGTATCCTCCACCTTGTTTCATGCTGTCAATCTAACAATTGCGTGAACTACAACAAGGTTTATCTAATACTGGTTTACCCGTGAGTGTTGGACTATATCATAGTCCTTACTTCAGAAGACATTGCCCTGCATGCATGTGCTGGCGGTGGTGGCAACCGTCAACAAATACTCTCACGTGCCTAGTCGAATATAGTCACGGATTTCCCAACCTGGCATCGTGTGACTAAGTGGCTGAGCGGCCGTTTCACCACAGGAACACGGACAGATGGCGGATAAAGTTGAGAGGGCCAGGCTATCCGCCACCTGACTGCTACAACCATCATCACGTCGACGGATTTACAGAGAAAGCAGCGACAGGTCCACTTCAACGTAGGGCATTCTGTCAGAGCAAACAATACCGCAGCTTGCAGAGATCAGAACCAGCTCCAAGTGCGTCTCTTGAAACCTGCTCAAATTGTGTCCAACCTGCTCCAACCAATTGTGTCTCTCGACTCAAAGCTAGCAGCCACTGGATACAGTGCAGTGTGGGGAGTCACTGTCGCTGTCACACTGGCTCTCGTTCCGTCCACTGGTCCAGTGCCAGTGCCAGTGTAAAAAAAGAAGAAGAAAACAGTGCCAGTGTACATTGTAGTAATAATAATAGTCTACAACTCTACATTGTAGTGCCAGTGTTAATAGCAGGCTATACTATTCAGGTGGATAACACAGCACAGTACAGACTACAGTCTCTGCTAAACTATTCAGGTGGATAACACAGCACAGTACAGACTACAGTGTCCAGGCAGCTCCGACCGTTTCATTGCTCCAAGATTGATCCTATCGCCCCCCCCCCCCTCCCCCCCCTCCTCTCTCTCTCTTGGTCCTTTCTTGATCGTGACCATCATGCCGGATTACTTCTGTTTCAAAAGTACTGTACATAGTAGATGGACTATTGTGCAGTTCAGGTACAGATCACGACAAATTTGCAAAGGCTCCTCCTGCTCCTCATGCGCTCGGCCGATGAGCCCACAGACATGGCTCGCAGCTGGTTACACATTCCACCCTTTGAAATGGTGCGCCAACACAAGGACAGCACTGGCTGACACTGGCACATTGAGTGACATTTGAGTAGCAATCCTTCACGCCAATCGCCATGAGATTGAGAGCAGTGACAAGACCATTAATTTCTGGATTTTCTGGAAGTCGCATGGCTAGCACACGGGCTCCTGACGCACCCTTTGTATTTAAATCATTGCCGCCCACTTCTTTCTCTCAGTGCCTAGGACCTTTCATCAAGAGTGCGTAAGAGTGGTTTTGTAGGCTTTCTTTCATGTACGGCGGAACGCTTCGCACCAGGCAGTACATTGCAGTGGAAAGCAGGACTAATCAGTCCACCCTCCAGTGCAGTCCGCTTCCAAGTCCAGTAGTCAGGCAAGCAATTAGATTATTGGCCCAGAGCCTGCAGAGGACTGAGAGGATACGTTGTGGCGGTCCATACAAGTACTTTGGCAGTGAAATAGAATCTGAGGCACATACATGACGTATCTATTATTTCCTCAAAGGCACCACCATGATGTATTCCTTTGCATGGTTTTCGGCAGGAATCATGCGCCGGAATGTACATGACATGTACTTTCAAGTTGTTCTGAAGCCTCAGATTCTCTCCCCTCGTGCTGCGAGTCTCTGCGTGGAACAAGATCAGTGCTTGGGTAGCTCCAGGACTGATACTGGACTGATACTGAGCAGGTTTCTTTATCACTGCCAAGTCAGAAGTGACAGGAGACGCTCGTTCATCGTATCTAAAATTTCTTCAAGGGAAACTCAACACGCGTTAAATTAATCTCCTTTCTTCCTCCCGCAACGGGGCACTGGATGCGTTATGATTCGGGGTGGCCAATGGTACACGAATAATACAGCTGTAGCGGTTTGCCTGGGCATCATTTCCATGATCAGCAATCTGCCCACTTTCCCGAAGGCCATTGGCGCTGAATAGACGCTCTATATCAATCCCTACTTCTCTTTGTACATACATCTACATCTACTGTTCTTTCAATCAAATGAACCCCTCGATAGGCACATTGCCTTTGGGTCATTTCATAATAATAATAATAATAATAATAATAATATGTAACGGTAGCGCAGTGTGACGGTGCAGCTAGCTGGATCATTACTACTTCCACCTCTTGCCCTGGCTAGACAGTACAATTACGCAATCATTACACAAGAGCTGGGCTGGGAATTCTCACAGATACAAGTCCACATGCACTTCATCCGAAACATCTTCCAGCCAGAGCGTAGCGCTTTAGCGCAACAATTTATTTATTACTTGAAGTACTTATAATAATATATATATAAGTTCTTACATTATTATGTTAGGAGTATACTTTTAAAATAATAGCAGGAAAAGACAGGGTAACTGGGGTAACTAAACAGGGATATACTGCTGCCATCTTCTTGCCTTGCTAGGTGCAAAGGCAGTGCGATTTTTTAAACTGTCTCCACCAAACTACATGTACATGTCATGATTGTATTCAACCCTTTAGAAGTCATCATGCCAAAACATGCTGTTAAGCGCACATTCAGTTACAGTCTCACTGATTGGTGTTTGTAAGTAAGTTTCTCCCTCAACCAGTTGGTATGATGCGATATACATTATTATGCCGTTCATATTGATCACTGTAGGTCCAAGGATGTGGTGTAGAAGGTCTGAGACCAGGCACACGCTGTGTGGGGATAAGGACATGCAGTCAACTGTGCGCAGCAACACGGTGACGAAAGTGCTAACGATAGTACATGTACCTGCAGCACCCTTACTCGCTTTTAACCACGCGTGGGGCTCCAGCGGCCTGAGGTATACATGAAATTGAAAGTACTGCTTGAGCGTTGAGTAGTATAATTAGCCGCTGAAAGGAGTACAGTCATGTCACAGTATACCCTGTTAGCCTATGCCTTCTACAAATACAATGTAGTGAGCGTTTCTCGACAGGAGGGTCCAGTGAGATCGATCGGCTTTACCAGTTTGAGTCAGGTTCGAGACAATGATTGATGGTTGCAGCCTGAGACACCTGTAACTGTGTAAGAGATTGCAGCATAATGTCTTGCTACATGTGCATGTATGCCTGGAATCCTCAACACCGCTTTCACGAGTACTAGAAACCTTTTGTAAACACCCCTACAGTTTTGAACACCTTCGCCTGCTGTCGATACTACTTCTACTAGAAAAGTAGTGATCCTTCCGTTGCTTTCCCTGCACCATACTAACTACTATCGCTTCAAAACAAAAAAAGAGGCTAATGCCGGTAACGGACAGACGTAATGCCATACTGTACCGGGACTCCAGTACAACACTGATCAGTGATGTGAGGGATTCTTGCTCTACGTGCACATCTGTGTGCATCCAGTTAGAAGGCAAGGATCTTGAGGAAGGGATTTGCTTGCATGTTATCGCCCTTTCATCTTCATTGCTGTGCCACCAGTAGTGGCATGGATAGCTTCAGTGCTCACGGACAACTCTCAACGAAGCGCTGGAAACGGAATTCAGGGTGACGGCCTGCTGAGAAGCAACCGTGGTGAACACTTCAAACTCCACTATCATCACACTCCACACTATCATCACATTATACAGTGTAGTTGTCGCTAATCTACATTTGTACCGGTACGTATATTTGCATTTCTCAATCTGCGTTTTCTGTAACCTTCCAAGATCCTTCACCACAATGTAGTGTCTGCGGGTCCATCCATGAATATCATCATGGGATTGTCCGTACTGGATGGATGGCCCGGTACAAAAGAAACCCTCGATATGATCCGGAGTTGGTAAGTGAATCGATGCGCGATGACAGCGGTATTCTTTCAGGGTCTGTGAAGTGATGGAACACAGGCGATGGATGAATTTATTCATTAGGTAATTAACTACAGTAAAACCTGTAACTAACGACCACCGTGACTAGCGACCGGCCTGGTACTACCGACCACTTCGCCAGGCACGGACGGTCTCACATTCAAAATGCACTGTGACTAGCGACTACCTGCTGAACGCGACCAGCGACCGCCTTTTCTTGTCCCAATGTCGAATTTTGACCCGTAACTAGCGACCGCGATGTAGCAAATCAAACATTGCTTGAAGCTCCTTCTCGAAATTTTGATGATTTTCCATGGTCGTTTCGATACTACAGCTGGACAAATGAGCGCAGTCTCATTTTTACTGTGGAATCAGTGTGGATTGCACTACACCTGTCATAATTTCAAGTGCTGTCAAGAACAAACAAGATAGGAAACGTCTTGGAGAGCGCATCCAAAGCGCTCTTTGATCGATGTTACTACTCGAAGGAGAAACTAAGACTGAGCGGCTCTCTGTCGAAGTGCAATCACACAGCTCAGTCACCAGACTCACCACTACACCAGGTCACACTGACAGTCTGTGCTGGCTAGCTAGCATGCTACGGTATTATGTACTCAGCTAGCTGTACGGAACATAGGCCAGGATACGATGGCGGATAATAGTCTACAGTGAAAGGTGCGAAAACTGGCAACATCGCCGCATCACGTACTGGTACACACTACTCACTACTAGTACAGTTTACGCTACACTACATCCAAGTCGGAGCGACTGAGTTTCCACTGCAGATCAACACACTGATACCAGTTGCCAGTGTAGTCGCACACAGATGAGGATGGAGTCGATAGTGACTAGTGCACTGCCTGGCCAGGCCAGCGCTGCTCTGGAAACCCAGTCACCAGTGAGTCGAAGAAAGTGTCAAAAGGTCGTATCGCTTTCGGTGTATAAAAACTTGATTTTGTCTCTCTCCAAGTGTTGTATGATGTGAAAGAAGAATGTCAGTGCGCAAGTGGTGGGGGATTGTATTATCTGCATTTTGACATACATATCATATAATGGGATCCATATATGGTCGCGCGGTGCAAACCTCTAACTAAAGACCACCTGCCACTAACGACCACTTTTCCGGGCACCAAGGGGTGGTCGTTAGTTACAGGTTTCACTGTATTAATTTTCTATTAGAGGTGCCAGTGTGCCCCCACATGGTGACACCTCACACACCGGCATAAATGGACAAGACTGGGACCATTGGACAAGAAATTAACAACGGGTTTCGGTAAGGTTTGCTTACTTGGCCAGGCGACGTCTCTTCGAAGCAGCTCGGGCATTCGGCACAGAGCGTCGAGTGACAAATCGGACGCGAGATCATGCGACGAGTGTAGGCCAGTCGTGCACATAGCGTCTCTCAGCTGTTGGTGCAAGAGATCAGACTGCTCGAAGTGCATCATGAGCGATGTTCCTCAAACGTCCACCACACAATGTACTGATGCAGATTCCGGTAGAACAACTCAATCTATCATTGAAGAGACCAGACAGGCAAGCACAGAAGAACACGGGGAAATAGTATTAGTCAGGAAAGGTAGACAGAGTGAGAGAGTGCGTTAGGGTCGGAGGAAGCGCGAAGAAGATTTCTACGATGCCATTTGGTTGCGACGGTAACACACTAGTGTGTGCCTTCACATCATAGGTTCACGAGCATGACGTTAGAGCGTTACTGACTTACCTCAGATCCCTCAGCTGTCTTATAATCGGTAAACAGTCTTGCCAGTATGTGTCTGTAAGCTACTTCTCTGATATGAACAATTTTCAATGTTCAATGTCTTTCCGTGCCACGTAATTCGGATAACGTCAACACTGCAGTACAGAATAGGAGTGGTCAGTTCGGCTGCTCAGACGGAGAAACGTTTTCAGCTCCGACCAGACGGATGGCTCTTATCAATTTGGCAATGAGCACCACCATCGCCACAGTTTTATCGCAGGTTGCTTTGACAGCTCTTGAATGCTTCACTAACGTGTCCCGCTGAAAGGGACTATTAGTATTAGCGGACGAGTCCACGCAGCTTGGGTTGATCGACATACTGATAAGGGTGGCGCTTATAGTGTTAGTTCGTGTCCTGGCACGGATCTGGCATTACGGCGGTCGCTGGTGTGTACGTATGGGGAGGGCGAACGATAGATTCAAGAGAGTCATCAGCACCGTCGAGTCGTGACTGAGACTAGAGTGTGGGTGACTACGCTGTATTACAATACAGACAGCTACATGTAGTCTTGGTCAATTCGAGTCTCCAATGATAGCACTTATCAGGACACTTGAAATACCAGCGCTAACCTGTTTAGAGTTGAAGTCAGCCTTGCCTCGACAAGAGGTGACGACCATGAATAGTTTTTAAGTGTGTTTGCGTTGTGCGAAGCAGTGCTTCTGCCCAGCCCGTAACTGACCTTTGACGGTTGACGCTTTCGATGGACGCCGCGGCCCCTTAGTAAAAGTTACGGAGTACGCGGTGTGACTGCCGATGCCAATTCCCCCGAATGGGTCGGAGCTCCAGTCCTGCTGGCTGCTCATGCAATTCAAGGCACCAACGTGAGCACGAAGAGCATGCTGTGTTCACAAGTTCCTCGTTCCCATCTTTACTCTAGGTCTGTGCAACTCCAAATGACCAGATAATACCATAGCTGTCCGACAAAAGAAGAATAGGACTAAGTCACTAAGACTATTAGAGACTACGTTTTGGACATCATCACGGAGGTGAGGTGTTTCTCATCATACGGTCATGCAGAGAAGCAGCGTGTAATGCCATGTGCTGTGTTCACATCCCATGTAGTATTCTTGTCCCGTAAACTTAAACATCCCCGTCGCACCATTCCTCGACTCCGAAAGGAATTCGTCAGTTTTAATCGAACGATAGCTAATCATGACTTGAAGCCTGGTATGGTTTACTCCGGTCGACTCCGATGCAAGTCAATCGTCGGCATCATATATCATGGCTCGCGGGTAGTTGACGCCATTATGTCGTCCTTTAGATACTAGTACTACATGATGATTGTACATGTAGTACTAGGAGATGGATGGTGCTGCGAGTCTGCTTGTACTGCGCGACTGCTTGTACTGCGCGACTGCAGACCTAGTACTACTGGGCTACAATGTTATTGTAAGGTGCCTTCTGAGCATTGACCGCGAGAGGAGTACGGACTGCGGAGGACGTATCTAATGACACGAATGTCGTCATACTCATACTGAGTCATAGCAGGTAAAACTGGTACTGGCCCCTGACACCTGCATCACTGCCATCAAGACATCTCTCATTCGACGTCCTTTGACATCCTTTCCTTTGACAGTTTGAGTGCATGCCAGCAACACGCTGGTTACGTGTAAACGGTTGCTATGGCAGAGTGGCAGAGTGGCGCATGCAAAGAAACTGCATGACCACTGAGTCTGCCTAATCATGACATTGTACTGTTGCTGTAGACTACTACTACTAGTAGTGTAGTGTAGTAGTCGTTTCTAATCTGACCATACATCATGTACCATGTACGACCCGGACAAATATCTCCCCATACATGTACATTCTGGGTAACGTCATGATGGGGTTCACTGGCATCACCTCATGGAATCACGAGACCCGGCACATACAGTACATGTACATGATTGTACAGGATTGTTGTTAGTTTGACAGCATGAAACAAGGTGGAGGACACTGTGTTCGGAAACAGTGACCTTACTACAACCATCCACGGTTGGCAGAGCCCCGGGAGGTTTATCTAATAGAAGTATTGAACTACTTGTAGTATTGGGTTATATAATATGTACAGATAGTACATCATTACAATGAACATAATACACTGCTGATGATACAGTTGGACAAATAAGCACTGTCACGTGACAATATGGGATTGCAAAAAAAAGAACATCGACCCACCCTTAGTAGGCCTTACGGCTTAGCCTTGAGCCATGGTATGATACTACTACTACTAGCAAGAGTAGTATTAATTTATTATGCTCCTGGGAGCTTATTACTCTTGCTACTAGTGGTACATGTAGACCTACATATACATGACTGTATATGGACCAGACTTTAGTATCCAAAATGTCTGACAGCAATATGCCATTGATGGATCATGACTGTAGACCTACATGTACTTTAACCGAGGAGAGAGGGAATCTGGGACCGGACTGGAGTGCCGAAACTGTACTGCGATAGACACAACAGACAGTCACTACAAGGCTACATGTACATGACTTGTACATGTAGCCTTGTAGGTGTGAGTGCGTGTATACAATACGTGTACAGTGGATATCGGTTATAAAGTCATCGGACATAGTGATAAACCGGCTATATTGATACAAAATGAAAATATCAAAAGCAAAACCAGAAAAAGCCAGTCAAATTATCATTATAACCAATATATCGTATATAGCGATAAATCGGCTATAAGGATACAGAATCACCATTCAAAACACCTCTTTGTGCAGAAAAATTATCGTCTATAGTGATAGCAACACACGAGTGTGAGGCATTGATGTCTCGACTTGGAGCCACATGTGTGTTGTCATAGGGTATTCTGGTCTGGTGCTTCCTTGATGATGCCTTTGGGCCAAGAAGTTCTTCACTCTAGACTGGAGAAGGTGCAGTAGCATCCATCACGTATCAGTACGCTACATTAGCGCGATTGAGTACCCACACGTGTATAATGTGTATGTATGACGCGCGCAGTTGAAAATCGCCTGTAGTGATATACCGGTTATAGTGATAAAATGTGAAAAATCAGAAGGGCACGTTATAACCAATATCTACTGTATTTATAGTCATAAACGCTCGTACATGTACATGTATGCTACTGCGGTACTGATATCCTACCCAGGGCATGGACCATGCATGGCCGGGGAAGCTGGGGACTAACCTTAAAAAAAGATGACGGGTAAAGAATGTGATGAGGATCATGGCTCGAGCTGATCCTTCAGGCTTCACTTCAGAGCTAAAGCTAGTAGTAGTACTAGTAGTACGAGTACAGTGCGTGGTTGTTCTTTTTGTCTGTGCAAGATCGTCAAGTACTTTGAGTCACAAAATACAGTAGTAATTTTATTTATAATTATAGCATGTACTGTACATAAGTCATTGTACATGACAACACATAATAATTATTATAGTGTGCATGAAACAACTCCTGGCACGTCAACTGACTGCCAAACATTGAGTTGAGACTGAGAGATAAGAATTGGAGCTCACCATGGCAGAATGAAACGAACGGTTAAACCAACATGTACGTGTATCAAGAGAAAGAGAGAGAGAGAGAGAGAGAGAGAGAGAGAGAGAGAGAGAGAGAGAGAGAGAGAGAGAGAGAGAGAGAGAGAGAGAGAGAGAGAGAGAGAGAGAGAGAGAGAGAGAGAGAGAGAGAGAGAGAGAGAGAGAGAGAGAGAGAGAGAGAGAGAGAGAGAGAGAGAGAGAGAGAGAGAGAGAGAGAGAGAGAGAGAGAGAGAGAGAGAGAGAGAGAGAGAAGAGAGAAAGAGAGAAAGAGAGAAAGAGAGAAAGAGAGAGAGAGAGAGAGAGAGAGAGAGAGAGAGAGAGAGCACTCCTTGGAACAAATCGTAACTAAAGAAGAGGTTACACAGCGTACATGTGTACACATGTGCTTGTGACAAAAACTCACACTCTGATTTCTAGCCAAACGTGCGATGTCCCTGTGTGAAATGATCGGGAATAGTTTGAAGGATGAGATGATCGTACACTGCATGGATATACAATGTGATGGCTAGAGTGCCACTGGTGTCGTCTTCACGTACATGTTCTAAGTATTAACAAAGATGCTACAATAATTATGACTGTAGCATCGTGATCTAATACAACACGGGCCCGCGCCCGTCGCACATTGTATTCTTCTGTGAGCACATACATGTAATTGCAGAACAATTACCAGTGTAGTGTGTGCATTGATTGTTGAGGTGAAAGAGCAGTGACCAAACTACTTGTATATTCGCTCCTTATCACTGGGTATGTTCTTGTGGGAGGGTATTTTCTGCCCGTTAAATACACGTTTACTGAGTACGTGCACGTACCCTTGATCATTTTAAAACAGTGGTGCATTGCTGACCTACATGCACAATGTCATGTTCACATAACAAGTTCACCGAATGACGCTGACAGTGACTCCAGCTGACATTACCAGGAGACTCACTTGTCATGCTGAATATTCCACTCAATAATCCACTGTCACTAGTCTGTCAGACGTTTACAAACACCAACTTCGTCATTAAAATTTATGTTCATGTATCTGTTGTAACAAGAGTAATGGGGGGTTATGTACTCTTGGTTGTAATGATAATGTCACTGTGACATGCTTATATTTCTCGTTGGCTGAGCTGAGCGAAGTGAAAGAAACGAGAAATTTTGTTCTCTGTAAAATTATTTGCATGCGCTGAATGGGTATGAGGGCTTTGGTTGCTGCAGAAAAGTGTGTCTGCATAGATTTGCTGTTCATTGTTTTTCTTCTTGCCAAGTGTGCAGATACCCCATGGCCCACCCCACCCACTCACCTTAATATTCTGTTTACCTCGATTCGAGCCATCCTCTACGGGCCGCATGCTGCTCACCGCAGATAAGACCAGCCTTTTCCGTACACAACTAGACTGTAGTTTCTTCTTCCGACTGTGGAATTCAGTTATTCAAGCCTGTCACCGGGTTACGTGCTGCTGATTGTTGTTTTTGCTTTTCAATTTCTTTTGTTTCTTCGCGGTTATCTTAGTTATAGGTTTAGTAAGTGCGATTACTGCTGAGCTTGGACTATCATCTGATTGTATCTGATTGTGGCAAGAAGTCTTGTGCAGCAGGCCTGCACACACCGCATGTATGTACATGTAGGTATTGTGCTTGGTTGTGCTCAGTTACAGTCAGTATGCGGGTTGATGCATGGGCAACTTGAATAATTTGAAGCTGGGAAATACATGACTGACACGTATCATTACTACAGAATTAGTACAGATACATGAACATAAATTAATGACGATGTAAATGTTAATGTAGGTGACTAAATAAAACATTCCTCCGGCTTTACTATGTACATGTACCTGTACATGGTCAGCGATGAAGATGGATGCTTCACAAAAATGACGGTGCGTGTGCAGGGTCAGACAGTCGGGGGGCTTCGGGGTCGGACTGCGGCTGTGGTCGCGCGATCAGTCATGTCCAGATGGGTGAACGCCATCCAGGGGCCAACCTTATCAGGCCAAGCATGGCGCGCCGAGTTTCCCGAGAAATAGTTGGTGTCATTATTCATTGTGCTGGTCACGCTTACCGGTATGTGAGACGTATCACGTGTTCCTTGGGTACGTCAAACCTAGTCTTGTTCGACACGGCCTTTTCAACTATGCAACCATCTGTCCAGGGTGGTAAAGTGTTTGCGCATTTCTCAGGTGTCCCCGTCGCAAAATATGCCAAACCAATATCCGCAGGCATTGCCACCCTTGGCTTACAAATTCGGCTTACACTGATATTGTGATCGCCCTGGAACTGAGCAATAGTTGGTTTACTGGTAGAACGAGAGACGCGTGCAAGCAAGTCCTATTGTAAATCTGGTATTTCTTGGGACGGCGAGAGGCAGAGAGCTTCCTCTGCAGATTACCTGTTAGTAGCTTTGGCCCCGTAAAGATTACAAGTGCAATCAACATGGCTATACCCGAGATGTGCCTTCAATCCTAAAGAATTTCCATGTAATTGTTGTCGCATCCCGCAATGTTGTAGCAGCACGAGTACGCGTGCTGAACTGATATTGCCGTTTGCTCCCCCACACCTACATGTAGTACCTGTAACGTTTTTTTTGCATTAGACGACCATAACCCAGAGATACCGCTCCCTACATATCTGTACACGAGCTTCTGGTTTTCGACATGCCAGAGAGTGACGGGGTCTGCAGTGGCTGGCACCAACTTCGGAGCAAGAAAAGTGTTTTAGAATTCTTTTTTAAAAGAGTCCAAGACACTGTGTTATGCGAACCTGAGATTTAAACAAAGTCATTATTGATGAACCTGGATGGAAACAATGAAGGCCTCCGTAAGTTACAATGCAGTATTCATAGGGCAAGTAGACACAGTAAATAGACGCTGAGAAGATATGACCCACTATTGTATACAAGGAGAGAGAGTGAGAGAGAGAGAGAGAGAGAGAGAGAGAGAGAGAGAGAGAGAGAGAGAGAGAGAGAGAGAGAGAGACGAGGAAGAGGAGGAGAGGGAGGGGGGGGGGGGGGTCGCGGAACACCCGGGATTAATTAATTCATTCGTCGCCACCCTCTGCCAGTGATACATGTACATCTTACAGTTCCACGAGGTTTCTACTTTCCCTCTCTCATGTACAAGTACAATTTACTTCACGATCGATATTTCCTTAGGAACTTCTCAAAGCTATTCATTGACACCGTTGGTGTTGTATTTGATTTTGTACCACACGAACAGGTGAAACTACCTTCACTGCTTCAGGCTTCTCACTGGAGCACTGTGCAAGTACATGACTGTACAAGTAGATGGGAAGACTCTCACACCGACCAGCCTCCCGGCCGTACAGTACACCGAGGGAAGGTCTAAGGTCGTAAGGAGCGACGGAGATTGAGGTGAGTAACATTAATTCCACAGCCAGTGCAAGTAATGCCGGAAAACGTTTGATACTGGGGGTGTAAAGAGGTGGAATGTCTCAATCCGAGGTAGTAGACCTACGATTACGTGTCTTCAGCTCATTCTGAACCTGGTCAGGTCAGTACGTACATGTTCAGCGTGTCGTCGACTACATGTTGTAGTACATAACACTTAGGTAACTGGCTGAATCAAGAGTTAGGTGGGAGCTTATGTTCTCTTGGTTGAATCAATAAAGAGCTCAATGATGTTAATTAATCAAGGGAGTCATGATGTGGCATGTCTGTCACGTGTAATGCTTTCGTTCATCCATCCATGCACGATCTAGGATCGCACGTCGTTGTCCGACCTGGCACATTTCCTTACTACCGAGTACCGAGTACTGTGCCCACGTGGTTGTTTTAGAACTGTCTAGTCTGAGGCTTCACCATGTACCAGGAGAACAACAAGGCCGGCGGCGTATCGAGGCCATTCTGGTTTCATTCCGACATGATACATTGTGGTGTACATTGTGCAGTGTAATGATCTACGAAGAAGAAGTTGCCACTCGGTGTCGCAGATTGACCCCACAAATGAATTCTGCGCACACAGTATTCTACATACTCACTCGTCCGTTTCCGTTTGGCCTAGATTGGTTAGGCATTCGCATACTAAAGTACGATCATGCCATGTAAACAGACGATGAATGACAATGACTATGTAGACATACACTTGAACAGCAGGTACTGTAGTAGAACCAAAAAGGGTATGTTGAATTGGAAACAAAATACAGCTTTCATGGGCATTCCGGGGCTGTTGAGCGGTATTGTTGTTGCTGTAAACTACAATGTAGCAGCAAGTCTTGAAGACGACTCTTGCTGGCAGTAAGTGCAGGGTCACGGTGTTGCATTCAGTCCTTCTCCTTATAATATCTTCATGTACGACGTTATACATGTACATACAACCATGGAACTACATTTATGGCTGTTGCCACAACTCAGTGGTCTGCTAGGCAGGATCACAAACACGGTAACGCTAATAGTTCAAGTCATACTTCAAAATAATAAGCCCCCCCCCCCCCCCCCCAAATCACACCTACCCTCCTCCATGCAGTTGTGTTTTGCACTGTGAGGTTTTGCCTCGCAATTTAAAATAATTACGGTATGTTAGAGTACTGGTACATGTACACGTAAAATGTGAACAGACTTTTCCGACGGACACACGCTATCACAATCATGCGCCTACAATATGGATGGAATGGATGGCGGTGGTTTTTGTTGTGCTTCTACAGTTCTACTTCTGCTGTCAGTGTCAATCGTCCAACATAATAATCTAGGCTAATCCATTTTTGTACCTTTCTAATTCCTACAAAAACATGGCTCACATTGCATACGTATCTAATATTGACTGAGTATACGAGGTCAATATAGGAAATAAAAGCCGAGTAAAAGACCGAGTTGAAGCCGTGGTCTTTTACGAGGTTTTTTATTTCCTATACTGACCAAGTACGAAGTCAATATTAGATTTATCACGACTAACCAAAGCATGTGTTCAATCGCTAAAAAGGAGTCACATATAAGCGGTCAATATAGCCCTAAGGAGTGAAATATGCAGGAATATTTGACTGCTTAGGTATGGCAAAAATCTATGGGAGTCAATACTAAGGGAGTGATAAAAATACAATCATGCACATGTCTGAATGCTGGTTGTAGAATGTAGTCTAGTACGGCCAGTACAGTAGTCACACACTATGCTCACGGAACAGCCGCGTATCGCGCCAAAGGTCACCCCCGTTCCTTTCCATCGACCAGTGCACAAGTATGAACAAACAGGTGAGCAACAAAACTACCACATTACGGTATTGCTATCTTGGGTGGAAATCTCATGCGCTTGGCTCGATTTTTGTTTTTGGAGTCTCTATAGACTTTAGAAAGAATCGAGGGAGTCTCCATCAAATAATAGCTTTTGAAGAAGGGGAAGTAGCCGAAAAGATCAGACAAACCTTGGAGGCTTCTTCACGGTGAAAGTATGCAGTTGAGAATCCGTGATGGCTCCTTGTACATGATGATGTGCTTCACTCGACCCTTCACGTATAAAACATGATTATGACGGCGTAGGTTGGGCACTGAAAAACGCATATGCATGTGCACAGCTTTCGCCAGTTTCCAGCCGAGAGCGGGTAGCGTTTTACAAGAATACAGTACAAGTATAATCATGATAATTATTATAATCCTACACACACTCCCGGCTGTACATGTCATGTACGTATCTAATATTGACTGAGTAGATCTACGAGGTCAATAGGAAATAAAAGCCGAGTAAAAGACCGAGGCGAAGCCGAGTAAAAGACCGAGGCGAAGCCGAGGTCTTTTACGAGGTTTTTATTTCCTATACTGAACAAGTACGAAGTCAATATTAGATTTATCACGACAAACAGTCCGTATTTCAAATTCCAGAACGATAACCTCATGAATCCCGGTTTTATGATTGCACAACCGTTGCACCACCACCAGTGCACCTACTCATGCAGTGACAATGCTGCACTAGGCACCGTTCAACTGCGCAACCCCTAAGCAGTCAAATATAAGCAGTCAATAGCCCTAAGGAGTGAAATATGCAGGAATATTTGACTGCTTAGGTATGGCAAAAATCTATGCGAGTCAATACTAAGCCAGTGATAAATGATTGGATGTCTTCGTCAGTTTACAGTTACACCCTCACTGGCGCGAAATCCTCTGATGTGCGAACCAGGGAGTTGCTTTCACGGCTCACGACATCCTGGTGGGAACTGTCAAGTAGACCTACCCTGTAGAATCCACGAAGATACTGAGTCGTGAAAGGGCCTTCACCTTGCTCGCGACTCTGGCCCTGTAGATTTACTGGCTGTGTCCTGGGCTCCCCGGGCTGAAGTCTCCATTTCAGGTTCCAAGCAAGCAACATTCGAGCCACGACACTTCCCGCTCATCTTCTGTCCAGTTTTGTCGTGTAAAGAAAACTTTGCTACATTGTTGTCGATATGGTTTCACAACGAGCTCATACTTTTCCATATTGTCCTCCCAGAAAGAACGGGTAAGTGTATTTTGTAGGGAAGGTCCTGTCGATAATGTTGACTACTAGTAGTTGAAAGCTATCCGTTGCATTTTTTCCTTGCGTTCGCTTGATATGGCTCCATGTCTGCACTTACCCTCGGAAACAGGGATTTTCGGCTAGTATTTTTAGTTTTTACCATGCTTTCTCTTTGTGTTTTGTTCTTGAACACGTGCACAGGAGAAATTTCCGTGCGGGCGAATGTGTCCTGCTTCTGTTCCGGGAATAACACCACTAGCATATCGTCCACAAGGCTTGACGGCAGCCGGAGGAGCACTATTTCGCAAGATACTTTGAGGTGGTCAGAAGACACACGCCATGCTGCTCGGGTGAAGAACAGCCGACTCAACGTGCATGTGTGCCTTGGGCGTGCTGCAACAGCACGACCCGAATCACTTCCCAAATTTATAAACCCGTGCTCGAAGACGAAAACTGGCGACGCTAAACACCGGGTCCCCACATTCCCTCATTTTCCTGATGAGTGATGGATGTTCAGGTGCATGTCACCTTGACCTCCTTGGCCTGTTGCAGAGCCAGTACATACAATCATCATGTCATGTAAAGTCTGTAATACGGACTCTGCACAGTCACTGGCTGAGAGAGCGAGAGAGCGGAGAGGTCCAGTGGTCCAAGCGCATCAATATCACGTTTCGGCTGTTTGTCACAAGACATCACAGGGGAGAAAGCCTCAGAAAGGTCAGTGTTACTCTCTCAACTCAAGATTGCTGTCAAGAGCGAAGCTACGTGTACATGTGTGTGAGGGGGGGGGGGGGGGCTCTTTTGACTTTGTGATTAGGTTATCAGCAGTAAGGCAGCTAGCTGTGTGTGTCTCTACTGCTGTGTGACTGTCCAACTAATTACTTTCCCGCTAGCACTAGCTAGCCTTGCTATTCATCCTCCTGTTTGCCAAGTACTCCGCATGAATAGACAATAATTACACAATCATTGAATGCGGCATGGCCTCCCATTGTGCCTGAAGAGTTTGCCGAACTGAGAGAATGGTGCCTGGCATATGGCCTAGTAGCGGGTTATGGAATGGTCCAGTCCTGTGTGACTTCGAGTTGGTATTCCGTCTTCACGCTGCCCGTGCCCAGGAATGTACTGCTGGAAGTCACGAGACTGAAATGGTGCACTTGATCGAGTCGTCGTTGAGAGTACTCAGTATGTGGCAAGGAAGTGCTGCTGATCTGGTGCGTGGACTACACAGTCACTGCCTACATTGTACAGTAGTCAGTATGTCTACGTAAGTAATAATATTCTAGTGGTGGTGATTTGAAGATTGAGTCCTGGTGCCTAATGTCTACAACCTAGGGCCACAGTTCCTAGAATATCCCACACATGTCCAGTGAGTGGTGAGCAGTGAGGTGAAGGGATCAACAAGATCAATGTTGTACTTTTAAAATATACTTCTAAATCCAGCATCAGGTCAGTTGAATAATGTCACCCATGGTGAATGTGTTCAGCAACTTCTCCCCTGTTAGCCTGCCCTTTGGGCCTGCATCATTATCTGTGTGTGTGTGAGCTGGTATGCCCCAATGCACTGGGAAAGACCACTGCCCATGTTGCATTCAATGTATGTCTCAACTCCTTTGACTGTAGGCAATGGAACATCTATCTGCTTGAACATGGGGAAAATAGGAGCATGACTTAATTGAGTGAGGAGGCCTTGTCACGGCTTGTGTGCGAAAAGAGCCTCCAGGCCAATATGAGCACCTTATCAAACTGTTTGCTTAGTCCAGTGATGGATATGTCATGTAAATCCATTGTACTATTCAATCTAAAGACATGGCTATTGTTGTCAATGACTTGTGGGCACCCTAGAGCTCAGTAAAACATTGTAACCTAGAGCTCAGTAAAACATTGTAACCTAGAGCTCAGTAAAACATTGTAACCTAGAGCTCAGTAAAACATAGTGTAACAGATAGCGGGATGTACATGACTGTACAGTCATGTATGGCCTCCATCCAATCATTATCCGGGATTATGATCGGATTATGCCGAACACCATCAGTCAGTATGGGTATGATAGGAAATAGGACGAATTGAAACATTCATTCAAGCAATCATGCCATACCAGTCTCTTGTTCAGTGGTGCTCCATGTCTAGAGCCCTAGAGGTGTGTGTCCTCAAAGAGCTCAAGAAGTACAATGTATTAGAGCTGTGGTACTTGGTAGTTTCATGAGCTTGGAGGAGATTGTACGTTGCTCCCTGCGTGGGAGTCCGCGCTTTTCCTGCGACTTGAATTCTCACTTGACTGACTCGCGACTGCCATCCAGAGGACACGAGAAGTCCATCGAGCCTTCCACTGGGCAAACCTGCAAGAAAGCACCACTCCCTGCTCAATACACAGTGTTCCAGGGAATTCACCCCTCATCAGTTGAGCTTGAGTAGGCTGAAGAAGATTGTGTCTGAAGAACACCACATACAGGAGATGTACACATAGGAGATGTGCACATAGGAGATGTACACATAGGAGATGTACACATAGGAGATGTACACATAGGAGATAGGAGATGTACACATAGGAGATGTACACATAGGAGATGTACATGTATAATGTAAAACGGTGACGTGTTACTTTGTGGGACCACGGAATTTTTTTCGGTCACAGTGGGGGGGTGTAAAAAATTCTGCTGGGGTTTACATTGTATAAGCGAGGTCCGAACACTAAACCGCTGTTAGAATATTCTGGTGTTGGCTTTCAGCATGGCGTAACACAATGGCATTTTCTAGGAAGCTACATGTACATGTATTTTGGCACGACCACTATACCAGCTTGGTTGTAATCTGTGCCTACACAGCTTGCACTCCCCCCCCCCCCCCTACACACACACACACACACACACACACACACACACACACACACACACACACACACACACACACAGTGGTGACTTACATTCTGCACACATTACCCCCCCCCCCCCCCCCCACACACACACACATGACCGTCCTCTTCAATTCAGTGCCTGAATGCTCTAGCTAAAGTGTTTCTTGACATGATCAAGTGTTCCAGGTAGGGTGAGATTGTTTTCATCATCTACAGACAATGATGTATAGCTGTAATGTACTATACAGCCTACCCAGGGCATCAGTGAATGCAGACAGTCACAGTAAAACCTGCCTAAGACGACCACTCAAGGCACCTTCAAAACGTCCTTCCCTTGCACAGGTGGTCTCCTTATCCAGGGCCATTTGACTGGGAATACTAGTAGTAGCTTCACTTCATTGGTCCTGGTTACAGGGTGATCTTCTTGGACAGGTGGTCGCCTTATCCAGTGGTCGCCGTGACAGGTTTTACTCTAGGCACATACCTACATGTACATGTACATGTAGGTATGTGCAGTGAGCCCCTGGCCCTGTCAATGCAGTCCCTGATGACAGATTACACTGGGGATTTCTAGTGTCTAGAATTACATGTACATAGATATACATGCCAGTGTGTGACTGGTACATACATATACATGCCAGTGTGTGACTGGTACATGTATGGTGGCAGTGCATTATGTCCTAGAAGTGTTGTGTACATTGAAATCCGTTGTATCTGTAGCATACCTACATGTACATGTAGGAACAGTGGCAAGACGTGGAATATGTTCTACTGTCCATGATGATTGTCCTACCCCCCCCCCCCCCCCCCCCCCCCATGTCAATAGGGTACCTTGGGCTTGGGAAGAATGTGAATGTACTATGACAACGTGATCAGGGAATATCAATTCTGTTGTCCATGAATTCAGTGATTGTGTTGCAAAAGTGCTCTCTAGTTTCTAGTCTTTTGTCTGAATGCTATTGATTGCTAGGACTGTGAGGGGCGTTCCATCATCTCTTCTTGAGGCCTGCATCCACGGTGTCCCCAGTCCACCCCTTCTGACAACCGTGTGTCCGTTTTTTCCCACATGTACTTGTACTTGGCTGGCTCCTCATCAATATCACATACACCGGGCATGGCATGCTGCAAAGTGCAGCCTGGGATCAGACCCATGAAACACTGTTATGTAGAACTAGGTTCTCACCCCTCCTCCTAGATCTTTCAGCCTGGTATCTGGCCTGGTAGTAATAATGTGCCTGCCCAGGGAACAGTTTGAAGCACTTGGATGAAGGCAGAACATGCACATGCATACTCTGGTGTTCTGCACCGGCAAAGGGTGCACTAGTAGTGACAGCCTGGCAGGAAGTACTACCTCGGCTCGAGACTTGTACAATCAGTCATAATAATTATACTTCAAAGTCACCTGACTAGGGGTGTACTGGGTGACCTTGCATGAGATCTACAACACTCTGCATCATGGTCTGTTTACTGAGACTATACCTACAATGTGGTAGAACTACTTGTAGAAGAATGACTAAAACCTGGGGGTGGGCAGGGGCTAGACGGCCTTCTAGGCGCCTTGTACTTTAAAGTGATGCATGTACAGTCATGTATTTAGTGCAGTCCACTGGGACCTAAGTCCTTCACTGGGAGTGCATGGAAGGTCACATGGCTGGGAAAATCAAACCTTCCCTAGGAAGCTCTATTTGGCTGATAAATTGCTCTCCAATGGTATCATTTGGGACAACTGGATAAAACCTATCACAAATAATTAATGACCTCATTACCTATTATGTTGAAACTGAGATAGAGTTCATTCTTCTGCCAACCCATTGTAACCTATGGACCTCCCTAGCTTGGACATCCGCAGAATGGTCGGAGCACTCTGCTTTCTGTACAAGCTCCACTTTTCAACTGGCCCAGACATGCTTCTCACCCTTCTTCCACCCCGAGCGACCAACACATCACGCCATAGCCGACGTACACAAAAGCATCCCTCACACCAGTTTCAGCTCACTTCCACTCTTCCGCCCAGAGCACGGAATGATGTCCTTCCGTCCTTCCCTGACGCTGTTGTGGAGGTCTGGAACCAGCTCCCGCAGTGCGTTCTGCTGAACCAGCCAACAAGGAAAGGACTGCAGACATTCAAAGAAAAGGTCAACGCCCACCTGCGCCTTACCCGCTGGGAGTGGGCAACGGACAGGCTATGAATCAAAGAAAAAAGACGAAAAAAAGCTCTAACTGCCCACCTGCGCCTTACCCGCTGGGAGTGGGCAACGGACAGGCTATGAATCAAAGAAAAAAGACGAAAAAAAGCTCTAACTCAGTTCCCTCCTCCATTCACTTCGTTGACTCTCTGATAACTTTTTATTGTGCATACTTTTCCCCGTAATCCCCAGTTATCTACCCCCCCCCCCCCCCCTGCATATTTTCTGTAATCTTTTGTTTTTGTGGAGCGCTTGGGTTGCAATGAAGCCGAGACCCTATGGTCGGTCAAGCTGCCCCTGCCTCTCCCCCACTCCTGCCATTCCATATGTCTCATCGCTGACTTGCTGCTTTGTGCCGTCAAATGGTGTGTGTTTTTTTTGTAAAAAAGAAAAGAAAAAAGGTACATGTAGGTAGGTAGGTAGGTAGGCATTAAAGGTAGGTAGGTGCCACATTCACCAAAATTGTTGTGCAGCATCTGGTGCTCTAGATCTTGGCTGCTGACTTTGGACAGCAGGATAATTCCTGAGCCATGTAGGAATCTGAGAAGATTGCTTCAAGTATATCAGTTTTAGAGGAAAGAATGTCCGGCTCTCTTCATTGCACCATATCGATCTACATGTGATTATGGGACGAAAGGAGCAGGAGTCATGAAGTGATTTGACTTTGTGACAAGTGTATTGCATGGTTGCATTCCAAGTAAAAGTTACACCATGCCACTGTACTGGACCATTGAATGGGATAGGCTGGCGAGTTATTGCAGGGATGGAATGTGTCAGGACTCAGGACCAGTCCAGACCGGTCATCAATGTATCTTTTAACTACTTCAAGTAGAAGAAGAGAAGATTCGAGAGATGGCATTCCTCAGATGTTTTAACATGGGGTCACTGTTGCTGGACAACTTCTTCTACTTGTCAAGGCAGGATTCACCTCTGTGGCAGCGAGTACTCATGCGACATAGGATGCGATACCTGGTTTGATGGAAGCCAGTTCAAACTAGAAAGGTATGGCCGCTTCTGCAGCTAACTGTTGGCTGCTTCGCTTTGCTGACTTTGAGGCGAGCTCTGAGCACCGCTTGGCTTTGCTTTGCTGGCTAAAGTTATCTTTGCCTTTGAAAGGCAACCCCTAAGTGCACTGTCCTCGAAGGAAGCCAGTTCCATCAGACGATAGTGTGCTTGCCTGTATTGATGTACGGCGTTCCTGGAGCCTTTTCTTCAGAGCTGGCCTTGCCTCAGATTCCACGCTAACCCAGCTGTTCCGGCACATGACCATATTTAGGATTTTTCTGGTACTGGTCAGGAAGGTGAAAATCCTAAATATGGTCATGTGCCGGGCAGTACGAAGTGAATGTGGAATGTGTGGGCCAACAAAAGAAAAGATGGAAAGCAAAGATTGGAATCGCTAACGATGAAGTGGTAATGGGCAAGCCTAGCTGCAGTGACCCAGTGCATCATGTATTCCTATTCTCATTGTAGCACCGTCGTCCTGTAGCCACTCTCATGAATTGTTCTATCAATACAATCATGAAATATGACAAAATGAGTACCTGAAAAGAGGACCATTCTCTCTCACTCTCTCTTTCTCTCTCTCTCTCACTCTCTCTCACTCTCTCGCTCTCTCTCTCTCTCTCTCTCTCTCTCTCTCTCTCTCTCTCTCTCTCTCTCTCTCTCTCTCTCTCTCTCTCTCTCTCTCTCTCTCTCTCTCTCTCTCTCTCTCTCTCTCTCTCTCTCTCTCTCTCTCTCTCTCTCTCTCTCTCTCGTGTTTGTGTGTACTGTAGGTGTGTACAGCAACGTGTAGGAAAGCTGGTCGGGTTGTGTTGGTCAGTATGCACCTCGACCGGCAGTGGTATTGTGATACTCACTAGGGTATACATTAGTGGTGTGCACGGGTAGTCGGGCACCCGTGAGGACCTCGGGTAGACGGGTACAGAATAGTACCCGAAAACCCAAAGTCGCAGATGACATCATGTACAGTGCACGTGTACAAATTCATGTAATACTCCGCATGTCTACCCAGTGTATGTCTACCCAGTGTCTACCCAGTGTGTAAGGGAAGGGGTGCATTGCGGTGTTACTATGGAATGGATCGGGTACCCGTGCTACCCGTGGAAAACAACCCGAACCCGATGCCTGTAGAAAATGCTACCCGACTCAGCCCTAGTAGTCATGTACATAATACACAGCACGGGTAGAACGTTACATGCATATCCCTAGTAGCGACTAACTAGCCCTGATTGCCCTCGTTCTGTGTATATCCCTACTGTGTATATCCCTAATGATTGAATAACGTACACATAGCCGGTATGCTAGGGTTGGATCCCCCCTCCCCTCCCCCCCCCCCTCCCCCAACACCACAGCTACCTGAAATATGTTCATTCATCACCTTCACTTGCTGAACAACCTCGCACCCTGCTTTGCAGCAGCAGTGCTCAGTGTTTCGGGTGTTTCTTCCGGTCGTGGGATATAATTAATGTGGGCTGTGTTGTTCGAAACGACCCATTTCAAGAGGGATATTATCTGACATGAGGGCAAGACTGAATGTTGATTACATTGATTACTGCTATGGACAAGGACAGGCATGGCAGTACCAACATAATTCTTATCTTAGGTTGAACTCGGATGGTGAGCCTTCCAAGTTGGAAGGCTGTTGGTTTGCGCCTTGGAGAAGTGTTGTAGTTAGGTGGCAGGTCGCTGAATGCCGGTCTCAGTATTCCTTGTCAGTGTTGTGCCATTTTGTCGCACTCGCTGGCTGTATATGATCTGGTTACGTTGGTGGACAGTTAGTCATAACTCGTAACATTTTGTCCTTCTCCTTCAGTCTTATCTCAGGTGTTTGGGATGGGACACCCTTCAAGCAAGACACCCTTCAAGCAAATGCTTGATGTCGCATGGGATGCAAGGAATGTGGTCTCTAGAATGCCGCGTGTACACTGTTGTAGTGTTGGTGGTTACACTGTTCGTGTTACTATTGATTGATTTGCATGAGACTGGTTCGGATATTGCACCTAACATACCAGCCCTGACATTTTTTAAATATTGCAGTAGGACCCAGAGATTTCCTTTTTCAGAGCTGTCACAGTGAATTTTTGGCTGGGCATGACAAGCCGGTGACACTGTTCAATGGAATTCCTTGAGACTCCAGAATTGCATGAATAGCAGTCAAAGTAGGTCGGGTCAGTGAGGTTATTTTTACGCATCCATGCGTGATCATGCACACGGGGAGATAGTGAAGCTCAGATAAAACCAGTGCAGTGGAAGAACAGATTGCGGATCACCTCACCATGGTCACCTCCCCTTACCCCAATGTTTGTGCATTTATTATTAGATATGCGGCACACTGTTGCTGCTGCGGTCATAGTGGCACATTAGATTAGGTGACTCTTTTCCCGGTCTAATGAGTAGTCATTTTACAGGTTCTAATGTATTGAATTATTGTCAGAGTCATCCTACTAATGCCAGTTTTGGGCTGGTATGTGTCTATGGAAGCCAGCAGCCCTTGGGAGCATGTGACACGGCCTATGGGTGTAAATAACTTAGTTGAATCTGCCTTTGTTTACAAAGGTGGAATAGAATGTGCATCGTCAGTCTCTGGTCTGAGTCTGGGCATGATCTTGGTGTTTATGGCCCAGATGGTGTCCGTTTGTGCACTGATTCACTAGATCTGGTGGAATCCTATGCTGTTGATTCCTTACTGTGTGACTGAGTAGTTGGTGTCACACTGGCCGACTGCTGGGGGCCCTGTCACATGATGGTCTGATGATGTGCCTGCTCAGGCATGGCTGGGTCATCATGCGGGCGTGCACAGTGCAAGCTAGTGAGAGCCACACCTGATTGACTGATGGTGGTGACTGTGTCCAGTTCAAGTACATCATAGTCTATGCTGTTTATATTTTCATCCAACATGATCATATGAGACTAAGTGTTACTACATAATTGCAATAAGCTACCCAGCTGCATTGCTGCATGCTGCTAACAACTGCATCATGACCTTTGCCCAGCTAGTGCCGGGCTCTCTCCAAACATCCCGGCCTGGTATGCCCCAGTTCAGTGATGCATGTCCAGTTTCACCCTGGTGTCATACTTGCAGGTAATAAATTATTTAATTAGCTGGCATACCATCACTGCATTAGCCCTGATGGTCCTCTGCCACTTGATAACAATGATCATCTGATGATAGTCACACACACAGTGATGGGGTCAGCCTCCTAACCCAGCATGACTTTGTATCTGGCTGTCCCTGACCAGTTTGGCAATTATCCTGCCGGCTACGGGGTCATATTAGGGGAAAGTGAGATCAAAGATGTTCCCCAGTGGCAACTGCTGCTGTTCTAACATAAAATTAATGCACATGCTTGGTAATTTAGTTACACTTATATTCTCTGGCCCTTGAGCACTACCAGTACCCCCCCCCCCCCCCCCCCACTACACTACTGTGCTCAAGTAGAGTGAAGGCTTATCCACCCCAAACTGGCACCATGGTGTGGACTGTATAGTCTTGTATTCTTCCAAGTTTGTTGTGTTGCATTGGGAGTATCATGTTGTTGAAAACGTGGACAATCCACGGAGTTTCTTCTTCAAAACACGGTTAGGTACTTGGCTGCCATGTCGATAGAAAACAACTGTTCATGCACAAACGAGTCCACCATGAAACTGAAAGGAAACAAATTGACCATGGAGGACAAGGTGCACTGAGTTTTAAGGTTTTGGTTCCCCAGTGCCACTGAGCTTTTCCCTTCATGTCACAATTCTACCCATACAATCATACATGTACATGTGTGCTCTCTTGCTAGAAATCACAGGGAAATGTCTATTTCAAAAACAGTCACTTTGTATAGCTTCAGTCTAGTTGTACTAGCATGTCAATCATACATGCACGTGTCCTACAAGTACAGTCATGTACACAACACACCGTACATGCATGCCGCATTCACTAAGCATGAACCACACTGCCAGGCCTAGGGGGTGATCTCATCCTGGTGGTAATACTAGTACTCATTGTGCCTTGCTATGCGCATGCCGCCATTGTACAGGTGATCAGTCAGTTAATCACCGTTGCTACAGCAGGCACAGTAAACATTGTCTACGGCGTACAGCTGATTGGCTGGACGGTGGACAAGCCTAACACCCATAATATTCAGCATCAACTTGATCAAGGCAGACTGTACACTATGACTCCGTGCCCCGCTGCGTCACTCTAAGACTACATGTGCATGCATGGTGAGTACTCCGCTTCTGCTGTCTTTGAATGTACAAGATAAATCACCAGTTCATCAGCAAATAGTATTCATGTACTGATAGGAGAAAGGACCAATACGAGCTGAGCCAAGCTAAAAGGTGGCGTAGTGGAAAACTTCTTTTTTCATGCCAAAGTGCTATCTACCTTTCAACTTCTATCATGGAAAATTTGGTGCCTTTGTTCACCCGCACATGTTGTCCAGGCGTCAGGGGCCCAGCCTCCCTGCCCATCCGACCCGCCACACACAACAACAAAACAGAACTAAAGTTTTACATAATTATTTGACAAGACGGAGATGGACAAACAAGAAGACCGGACACGACGAGGTAAACTGGAAACTGAAGTGAAGAAAAAGACAAACATCAAGGCAGCAAATGAGCATGCGCGCAAACAAAACACAACGCATGACAATGACGTAACCGTTCCTTGGTTCACATGCACATGCAACCGAAACAGTCTAACAGAGTCAAAAAGAGAACGCAAAACAAGACAAAATAAACCAAGGGACTACAACAAAATGAGCTATGAAAAGTCTTTCTTTCTAATAGAACCGATACGCAACAGTGCCATCTGAAATGTGTATGTGCCATAAAGAAGCATATATTGCGCACATGTACAAGCATGGCATGCTGCAACCACAGAGCAGTCTCAGCACAAGAAAGGAGCAAACACTCTTGTGGCATTCTGCTAAGAAAAAATGCTTTTATGGCTGAAGATGAGCCATCTTGTTCAGCTTCGAAACATTGCGGCCGTTTGCTGTATGCATATGCCTGGCGCATAGGTGAGTGTTCATGCCAATTATTATTATTATTATTATTATTATTCTCGTATCCGTTCCCAAGGGGAACTCACGACAATGGAGTGAAAAAACATAAACAAAAATAAAAACATGGTGATGTGGAGATAATAGTGTTGCATACATCGAGTACAAAATAATACAGATACAATCAGTGCTTCGGATGCCTGTATACCCTGATAGTAGTGAGCACAAGCACCGTCCACACACGTAAGACAGTCCATATGTTTATGTGATGGCTGAGCAGATGTTGCCCCATCTCGTTCAATCGGCCGCAAAGTCCCGGATGTTTAGGTGTCGATTCGTCTTCAGTGCAACTGCAGTTAGCTTGCAGTCTCGCTGAAGGGTGGTTACCAGGCAGGACCGAGGCTCCCTTCCTGTGTTTAGTTGTTTCCTCTGCAGTTAGGTATGCCATCATTGCTTGGTTCCCTGGTGTGCCGATTGGTTGGCGTAGAATGTGCCCGAGTAACCGCCATCTAGCTCGCTTCGCAATTCCAGATATTGGCTCGGTGTTGGTGAGCTTATACAGATCGTTTGTGATGATTTTCGGATAAAGGATGCCAAGCATGTGACGAAGCTGCTCTTGATGGCTCTTGTCGAAGGAGTCTTCCAGTGCCTTTGACAAGCCTGCGCAGCCAATGTTGTACGTAAGAATCGGGAGGCCGTATGCGTTGTACAGCCTCATCATGGTGTTAGTTGTTAGGTGCTGTCGCCGGAGCCAAATCTCTTTCATGCGCCCAAATGCCACTGCGGAAAGGCTAATTCGCCGTGCTACATCATAGCATGATCCATACAAGGAGCCAAGTGTCTTTACCGTTCTCCAAGGCTCCTGTCCACGAATAACGGACTGGTGTGCTACTGCTGACTGTGCCGTTGGTTCTAGCAATATTCTGATCCATTCTGTTTTTGTAACGTTAACTTTTAAATCCCATGTGTTGAAGGTGCTCTCCGCAAGCAACAGAAGCTGGTGAAGATAGGCTTTGGACGTTGAAATAAAAGCTACGTCATCAGCCGAAGTTGTTTCTGCCGGTAGGTGTTCATCTGCAGCTGGTCTCGGTGGCAGGACTGAACGAAGGTCACGCAGAGCGGCTTCGAGGTAAACTGTAAATAGGACCTGCGAAAGGCCATCTCCTTGAGGAATGCATTTCGTTGTTGGAAAGGCAGATGATTTTGCTGATTCCACCCTGACCTCAAGAGTGGTGTTTGGTGTTTGACATGAGGTACCGAATGATGCGTAGCTCATCATCAGTTGCAATCTGTCCGCTGCTCAGCACACTCAGTAGCTTGTTTCTGTTCACAGTGTCAAATGCTTTACTGAAATCAAGGCCAAGAACATGAATTTCAGTGTCAAATCTTTCCACAAGAGACGAAAATTACCTCTTGCACCAGACTACGTCTGCCGTCGACCTGTTGCAGCGAAAGCCAGACTGTCCTGGTGACAGAAATTTCTCCACTCCCGGTTGGATTCTATTCAAGATGATAAGAGAGAGGCTCTTCCTGAGTGAGGTTAGCAAAATGATCGGACGGAGGTTAGCAGGAGGACCTTTCGGTTTGCGAGGTTTCTGCAGCGGGATGAGAGTGCCTTCGCCGACTTCGATTCTTCGATGATTTTCAAATAAGTTATTAAGCATTGCTGATATGAGATTGGCTATTGTTGGTCCGCTGTACTTTAGAAGCTCTCCTGGTAGCTCATCAGGACCACATGCATGTCCATTCTTTAGGCATTTTAGAGCGCGAGTGACTTCGGCCAATATTCATGCCAATAGCCCGCACATGCCAATAGCCCGCACATATCCACATGAACAACTTCCATGTAATTATTGCCAACCGACTGACACCTGCAGAACGGAGTGCAGCTGAATAGATAAACTTGTCGAAGTTCAGATGTGTACAATCAGAAGGCGGGGCATACATGTAGTTCCTCAAGGTACGAAAGATGTGATGATGCTACAAATCATAGGAACAGATGAGAAAACAAAATACGATTCTTCCAACAGAATGCCTGATATCAATGACACTAAGGATATGATGACCTGCCCAAACTCCAAAATAAAACAAGGCCACAAAGTGGAGATGAAGCTTAGCAGGCGTGCAAGCAATACAACAAGAACGAGCACTGGTATCCTAATTAGAAGATCCAAGAAAGAAGAAGTACCGTATCTGCGCTATGCATCTCATGCCATTTCATCTCGCAACACAAATGTGCACATCCTTCAATGATGTTGTGACCATATTTCCGCTGCCCTGGGAAACGCTGCATCTTACCAAGACAACCCGGCGTACTCTCTCTAATCACCTGTGCCAGCATGAGTTTATCCTTTGATGTAGCTCCTTGCCAAGCGGTTACGTGACATCGTCCATGTCGACGTATCCTAGAATACATATCGAACCTTTCCTAAGACGTGCACCTGGAGCTGTACATTCAGGTTGGATTTTCAGCTCATGTAGAGCAAGTGTACGTCTGGCCAGCTTGCTCAATCCAACCACCGTTTCGTAGGCTCACTTTCACCTACTACCGTACAGAGAAAGGTACGCAGACGAACCCCCGTCTTAGAAGGTACAGTCCTGTGGCTGGCTGCGGTGGCGTGCCTTGGACGGCTCGGAAGTAGCACCGCCAGTCTCGGCCAACAGTGCTCCCAAGTGTCAGGTTGGTGAATAGTTGACTGCAAGACCGTTTGCTACCGTCGCTGCTGCTTCTGAGTTCACTTGTTTAGTCGACTCAGCATCCTGGACTGCTCTGGTCTGCCAGTCAAGCTGGACATACCGGGATACAATGCTGTCCGCATGAATCCAATCCAAGTCACAACAATTATCGGAATAAAAACTATGCACAGCAGGATGATAAGGATCCTCCTCTTCAGGTTCATTTCCAACAGAGTTGGTCAATGTGGTACCATTCTCAAGTAATCAGCAAGCAAGCAAGACAAAGTAAGAATGACTTCAGTGCGTTTGAAAAGTCCAACTGCACTTGTACCTCCGTCCAACCGACTGCACATCGCTAACAAGCTGCTGATTCTTTGCCCTTCCTCATCCATGTCGTTCTCCTTCTCTGGCATGGACAGTTCTAGAAGGTGCCACATGATGATGTGCTAGCGGGTAGAGTCAATGCATCACTCCATTGTGTGTCACTATTTCCTTGAAATGAGGAAGGTTTGAAAAATTGGAATCCAGTACGCCACGTCGGGGAATGGTAGCCGAAACAAAGTGAAACCATATCCGTCGCAGTATGAGCCAAATCACAAGGAGAATGATAGTTGGAAGGCTTGTTAGACGTCTCCCCATAGCTGTACCAGCCGCTCAAATCGTGACCACGGTGATACACACAGTCACTATGAACAAGAGTACATGACACCCAGAGTGTGCAGCTCTGGTGGGTTGGTATCACGATGAAATTCTGGGATAGTATCGATTTAGTGATGTAGTGGGTGCAAGCAGGATTCAAGCAGATCTCTTTCTGCACGGCTGCATGCAGCTCAGTTGTACGCACTACGCCACTTCCCGCCGTTTATCTGCACCAACTGCGGGTATGATGCAATCCCAGAATTTCGCCGTGACAAACACCCATGCAGAAAAAGCAACAAGTTGCACACTCTGGGTGTCATGTACTCTTGCTAACTTCAAGTCTTCCTCATCAAGTAGTGTTGGGGAAACTCAGAGACAGAGTGTCACCGTGCTTACCTCCACATTACTTCCTCATCAAGTAGTGTTGGGGAAACTCAGAGACAGAGTGTCACCGTGCTTAACTCCACATTCTCTAGAACGCTCCATTACGAGCTCTCACAGTGCTGAGAAATCCGGCCCTGCACCAATGAAAGCGGGAACACTGAAGAAGTGTTTTCCAAAATTAAAAGGCCACAGTGCCTTCTTCTTCTTCTTCTTCTTCTTCTTCTTCTTCTTCTTCTTCTTCTTCTTCTTCTTCTTCTTCTTTTTTTTTTTCGCTTGCATGCTAACTGAAAGTGGAATATTTGCACGATCGCACTCGAGTAGAATTTTCCGCGGCCAACTGTGACGTTTTCGGTGATTTTCTCGATTTGTCAGTGGCAATGCCTTCTTCTTCTCCGCTTGCATGCCAGCTGAAAGCGGAATATTTTCACGATCGTACTCGAGTAGAATTTTCCGCGGCCAACTACTGTTACATTTTCGGTGATTTTCTCAACTTGTCAGTGGCAAAACGCTATTCGATGCCACATTTTAGCTTGGCGCGGCTCATAGTCATAATAATTATGTTTCTTGAAAGGGATTAGTCTTACCAAGAGTAAATAAACTCCATCCCGGGAGCTACTGGGAGATTATTTTACTCTTGACTTAGTAACTTACTAGTCTTGTTATCATCCCGGCTGTAACATTAGATATTCTGTGTTGCCGAGGGGCATAGCTCTTGCACATCTTCGTTGCGCTTACCTTCCCCTCATTGGAACTTTCCTCACCTGTCCGGCATTGCTCACCTCTCGGTTATCTGAGCTAGTACTGGTATTTGATGTTGCTGACAGCTGGCTGTGTGCTAAACAGGACTGAGCTGCCAGCCACACAAAGCTCAATGTGCAGCTTGTAGTACGATTGCCAAACTGGTAGCAATAGTGACAATAGCCAACCACAGCTCGATATACAGCCCATGCACTGAGCTGAGCTGTATAATCACTGTGTCAGGGGGAGGGAGAGCAATGGATTAGGATGGGATTAAAGGAACCGGGCAGCAGTAACTTTGTAAAGCTCATCGTCACATAGCATTCTCCCACAAGAGCCTGGTTTTGAGCCACTTTCTCGCATCTCCATTTTCAGGTCTCGTCACGTCCGTTTCCATTATATTCATGAGTAGTAAGTTGTGCTCGACCATGGTGTAAGTTGCATCCCCCTGTTCGGCCCGGTAGAAGGGTGTGACTTCTATTCAGGGATATACATAATTATGAAGTCTCCCGGTTGTGGAGATGCATGAAGCTTCAAGCCCAGATATTCGTCAATACATGTACTAGCAGACAAATAAGCCAGCATGTGAAACAAGAATGCACAATCATGAATGGGTCCACGTAGCAATCGCGAGATTTTTACAACTCAACCATGCCCTGCTGTGTCTCTTGTCATGTGTCACCACCAGCTTCCAGATCATTCCAAGTGCCAAATGGGCCGTGTCACAGCATGCCATGCCATTGGGAAGTTACCTAGTTGGGTGAGAACTGTTTATAGGCATGGCTTCAAAGAAGTCCACTCCACGTCAACGCATTGCAGAGGAGGTGCCCATCACATCACCACTGCTTGCAGAGAGGAGGAAATCACCAGGTCACCACTGCTTGGCAGTGCTTGCTGACCACGTCACATGACCACTGCTTGCTGACCACGTCACATGACCACTGCTTGCTGACCACGTCACATGACCACTGCTTGCTGACCACGTCACATGACCACTGCTTGCTGACCATGTCACATGACCACTGCTTGCTAACCGGCTCCCAGTGCTTCCAGGTAAGACAGGCGCACAAGTAATCCCAAGTAGATCTTGGAACTAATCACTTGCTCACATGCTACCGAAATCACAATATTACAGTACCAGTTGTCTATAATAACCTGATTCAGTCAGTGCTCTGTCTGTATTCAAAGACACTGCATCCAGTAATGAGGTGTACGTCGCAGTAAACTAGAGAAACAATCTCATTGCAGACTCACCGGAGGATGTTCGGGTTGGTTGTAACGCTGAGATTTGTGCCGCAAAGCAATCATTAGCCAACTGATACTGAGGTGCTACCGAACAGTACGCTTATACGCTTAGGGACACAGGCATGATGACCTGACTTGATGACTTGATCAATCCTGTCAACAAGGAAGGAATTTCCAGTAGTACAGCTTGGGGACGAGAGAGGAATATTCTTCAGTGAGCGCCAGAAGTGTTGGCATTGACGTGTCCATGGCTAGGGGTGTAGTGTTCGACTAGATAGAACCAGGGGTGCCATGACATTCAAGGCGCATCACACTATGTACTGCAGCGATGTCAGTACGGTCACACTCGGTGTTCACAGATCAGATTAGCAATGTGCAACACTATTCACACACTATTGGCATTGGGAATAAGCCCGTTCTCAAAGCAATGTGCAACACTGGTACTAGTACATTATGCGTCAAGTCCTCAGTAGCAATTTCTTGAGAGGCGGCAGGGCCATTCTAGTTGGCTGACCGTGCTTGTCCCTGTAGGTTTAGAAGTAGCTGAAGAGTCATGAAGCCACTCCGCAGGCGCTGAACCGGAGCACAGAGTATGCGTACCGGCTTCCCAAACCATCCAATGACTGCTTGCTCCATCACTTTGGAAAGAAGCAGAAAACAGAACAACCAAAGGCCGAGCGAGGTTTCAATGAATAGTTACATATCCGGGGCTCTCCCTAAAATTTAGCACTTGGTGCAATGAGCCAGTTCTGTAAAATACGATGTGCAGGTCGTTGGATCTCAGTAGTGTGTGTAGTTATCGCACTTTCTGACTGCTTTCTATCTTATTACAGTAGTGGACACGTAGTCCGTGTGTACGTTATGTATGTGTACCACGTCAGGGATGAATTTATTGTCATTTTTGCATAGAAGTTTCTGCTATGCAAATGCACAATTGTATAGCAGTCTTTGATTTTGAGTACGAAATGAACGATGACGACAACCCTTTGCGACGACCCCTCATAGAACAGTGTATTTTAGCCCCTCTTGTTTCACTTCTCACCTTTTTATTATTTGTTTCTCTCACCTCTTGAATGCTATTTCGTTGCTAAATGTATCACTCAGTTGTAATGGCTACCACCCTTGTGATGCTAACCCGTGTGATGCTATGTATCCGTACTGTTCCTAGGTTCTAGTTGCGTGAAAATGCGTGAAAACTGGTTCGTGGAAAAACATCTCCTCCTGGTGAGACATTTTGTATTTTTCCTTGCTGTAATGATGACCAGTGAACCAAGGAGCAAGCCAGAAATGAAGGAAATGAAATGAAATGCGTGAAAAATGGTTCGTGGAAAAACATCTCCTCCTGGTGAGACATTTTGTATTTTTCCTTGCTGTAATGATGACCAGTGAACCAAGGAGCAAGCCAGAAATGAAGGAAATTCTGAGAGTCCATCCATCCCAAACCCCGACCACCATCCCCTCAGTTGTAATGGCTACCACCCTTGTGATGCTAACCCGTGTGATGCTATGTATCCGTACTGTTCCTAGGTTCTAGTTGCGTGAAAACTGGTTCGTGGAAAAACATCTCCTGGTGAGACATTTTGTATTTTTCCTTGCTGTAATGATGACCAGTGAACCAAGGAGCAAGCCAGAAATGAAGGAAATTCTGAGAGTCCATCCATCCCAAACCCCGACCACCATCCCCTCAGTTGTAATGGCTACCACCCTTGTGATGCTAACCCGTGTGATGCTATGTATCCGTACTGTTCCTAGGTTCTAGTTGCGTGAAAATACGTGAAAACTGGTTCGTGGAAAAACATCTCCTCCTGGTGAGACATTTTGTATTTTCCTTGCTGCAATGATGACCAGTGAACCAAGGAGCAAGCCAGAAATGAAGGAAATTCTGAGAGTCCATCCATCCCAAACCCCGACCACCATCCCCTCCTGGAATGATTACTTTTATAGCCTATCCTGGCTCTGAACTTCACACCTGAAATTGGTCAACTGCCCTCAGCCAATCAGAGTTCGGGAAGTGTTAGGGTGATAAGAAAATGAAGAAGGTCCGAAAGAACATATCCATCTGGTCACACATCGTGTTTGGTGCAGCCCCCATACTTATGAAGTCATGGTGATTTCTGGGACAAGAAATTGCTGGAAGCCCTGAAACTCTGTGATAGAGTGATTGTCGAAAAATTAGGATCGGAATGTTTTTGAGTAACTGGGTGGAATCAAGTGTCCCATGCTGCTGGCTGTTAGCGATTACTTTTATAGCCTATCCTGGCTCTGAACTTCACACCTGAAATTGGTCAACTGCCCTCAGCCAATCAGAGTTCGGGAAGTGTTAGGGTGATAAGAAAATGAAGAAGGTCCGAAAGAACATATCCATCTGGTCACACATCGTGTTTGGTGCAGCCCCCATACTTATGAAGTTATCGTGATTTCTGGGACAAGAAATTGCTGGAAGCCCTGAAACTCTGTGATAGAGTGATTGTCGAAAAATTAGGATCGGAATGTTTTTGAGTAACTGGGTGGAATCAAGTGTCCCATGCTGCTGGCTGTTAGCGCAGTCAAAGGAAAACACTCACAGGAAAGCAAGGGAGTAAGTCAGTCAGTCAGGCTGCAAGGTCACTGAAAACCCTTTTTTTACCTGCCCTATTTTGTAGTCCCAAATACATGTACATGCATGAAACATGCAACCATGCTGTCTCACCTTGTGTGAGACGATTGCCAGGATTCACGCAACATGACTCGGCAACAAACAGCTGAGCCTGTACGACATCTGCTGCTTTCACATCCCTTGCTAGCCTCTCACTGGCACTCCGCCACAAGAACTGGGCTAGATCTTCAGCTGCAAGCTGGTGCTGATCATCGCGCACTTGATCATCAGCAACTATGCAATAGGAAATGGCACACAACCAGCACCACAAGACCAGGATTACAACACATCACCAACCCAGGAAAATACTCTCGTACACATACAGTGCTGACAACTGAAATCCGCCCCCCTGAGCAGTGCGCTCACATCGCAAAGAATGTGAACCCACCGCTCAGGGGGGCGTCGGATTTCAGTTGCCAGCACTTCACATGTATGAGAGCTGACATAATACCAGCGACTGCATGGTATGCACAAATACCTACAAACACACAGCTGAAGGCCATGATAAATATACCATAGCAACTAGGATAGCACATTCAGCAGTTTACAAGGCTGAATAGTTGATGAATTAACTGCCACCATCTCTAGATCACAACGCATCCTCACACCACACCAACAAACACACACACGCACACGCGGACGAGCGGGCGCACGCACACGCACATACACACACGCACACCCACCCACACCCACAAAAACACACACACACGCACGCACACACACACACGCTCACTCACTTACCCACACACGCTGAAACAGCTAATGTCTCAACTACATCATCATCATCATCTTCTTCTTCACTGCTATACTGATCTATTTGCCAGTCAACGTGATAGTGCTGTGATGGATGATGATCGGTAAAAACATCTACAGTGAACAGACAACAAGGATGAAACAATGTGTGAGCAACAAATCGACTTGATGTCTCAAGCCAAAATGGGATGAAACAACGACAGCAGCACACACACACACACAGTCACACTCGTAAACATCAACAGATGTGTACGTGTACATACACTCTTGCACTTGCTTACTGCCAGAAACTGGCCACTGGGGTCTATCTGGGACAGGGGAGAGGAAGGAATCTTGGAAATGTGACTCAATTGGGGAACGCACGCACGCACACGCGCACACACACACACATGCTCCTCAATTCTAACCAGATTGAAGCCCATGGGTACTCGTAGAGAAAAACATACCCACACATGTGACGGCTTGCACATACATGTAGACAGACAAACACACACACACACAGACAGGCGCATACACACACACACAGACGCACACACAGACGCACAAACACAAACACACACTCTCTCTCTCTCACACACACACACACACACTCTCTCTCACACACACACACACACACACACACACACTCTCACACACACACACACACACACACTCTCACACACACACACACACACACACACACACACACACACACACACACACACACACACACACACACACACACACACACACACACACACACACTCTCTCTCACACACACACACACTCTCTCTCATGCACACACACACACACACACACACACACACACACACACACACACACACACACACACACACACTCTCTCTCTCTCTCTCTCTCACACACACACACACACACACACACACGCACGCACACACCAGCGAGTTTGTGACACATACCTATACACATGCACATACATATACACATGTTTCCGGTTTGCATCTTTCCCTCAAACCATATACCAATGAATACATGTACACGTACACGTACACACATACACACGGCTTACTGCTAGAAGTACGATCGCCGCGGCATGCTACAATCTGCCATTCAACTTCAGCAGTGCGAGGTAAAGACGGCACTTGAACAATGACAGTCACTGCCACCTGAGCACAACAATCAAAGCCAGGAAAAACAAGATTTACCGAAAAGCACGGCGAGAGTGTCCCAGGTCTTGAGAGACCTTGATTTACAACCAGGGAAAGGAAAAGTCATATATATGGCTTAGTGAAATTACAGTGCAAGTGCTGCTCAATGAAATCAAATCACGTAATGCCAGTGTGTGTGCCCTGCACCAGTGTACAGCTCAGTGTTGACAGGTCTGGAGCTGCACAGCACAGCGCCCGGTGGCGGTGTGGCATTGACTTGCGTCATAAGATTTCATTGAGCAGCACTGTAGCACGGTCATACGTACGGTGTGAGAAGCCGAATGTAGTGGGCCAAACATGGCCCAACACCAGCTCCCCACTCTTGTGCAGAGCAGGTTGTCACAACTTGTCAGTCGAAGGTGAACTGAGTAAATCTACAGATTGACTGCACAGTGAGTTTTAGTTATGTGCAATACGTGTGCAATGCGCATGCTGTAGGACGTACAAGCACCACTTGCTCATCCAGCTCACCTCCTAAACAGTAAAGACGGCCCTTTACACAGATGCTAGCAAACTTGCGGACAGCACAGACCTGATATTACCATGAAACTGTACATTCCATCTGAAATATGAGAAAGCTCATTCTCAACTGGCTACATGTATACAAGGCTAGCAAGGCTTCCTTGGATCACATTTCCAGCTAAACATCCCTCTGCATGGCGTGCAATCCCAAGAAAAGAGCAAGTGTACCCGGACTGAGGACATGAGGATCCACATACACTGTATAAGTAGCGATAGCAGCAGCAGAAGCAGTACACATACACACACATGCACACACGCGCGCGTGCGTACGCACACACCTGTCCTGTCCTGTCCTGAACATTGCCGTAAAAACGGTCACATGTCCCCTCATATGAGGGGCCAACAGACATGGGGTAGGGCGTTGAATACGGTACGCAGCACGCACACACACACACACATGTACATACGCATACACCATGTACCTTGTCACAGGCTCGCTGCCAGAGCTGCATGACATCACGCAGTGCACTGTCGCTGGTCACAAAGACGGTCAACAACGCACAGTTGTCCAGTGACAACTTGTGCACATCCAGAATTCTACTAGCGTGTCGCAAGGCTAGTGGACCTTCACATTGCCATCCACCACTGATCAGCTGCATACTGTCTGGAACTAAGCCAATCTGACCAGCTATCCAGACTAGTGGCTTGGCCTAGTACACAGATAACATGCACGCACACGCACGCACACACACACACACGCCACAAGCAGAAGAGAGTGTTCACAGGTGCAGCGGAAGCCATGTTTGATGGGCACAGTAGTACTATGGGCATACTTTCATAATTGTATGAATCTTAATTTTATCGTTTCCTTTCTGGCTATTAAACTGTGTTAAGGAGTTTTGGTTTGGAGTATTTTTCTTTTCTTTTCTCTTTTACATGTACAGTAAACCCTGGTTTAAGTGACCACCCCACGGTGCAAGCAAAAGCGGTCGTTAAAGCCAGGTGGTCTTTAGAACCAGGTCCCACAGTGTCTGTGTAGAGCTGTCGGTGCATGGAAAAAAACGGTCGCCAAGAGCAGGTGGTCGCTAAAACCAGGTTTTACTGTATAAACATTGCTGTTGCACATCTTTATCATTCAATATTGCTGTTCACCTTTTGAATTCTTTGCTCTCCTTGTATTTGTATCATTAATTTCTGGTTTCAATAAAACACCTTTTACTAGAACTATGGGCACGGTAGTACAGTGCTGCTCAATGAAATCCAGTCGCGTCACTCAAGTTTACGCCTTGCCCCTTTTCGCAGCTCAGTGTCCGCAGGTCTAGGGCTGCGCAATGCCCGGCGTGTACTTGAGTGACGCTGTGACTGGATTTCATTGAGCAGCACTATACTATGGGCAGGGTAGTAGCCTATCGTGTGTCTGCTTTGTTGGGCAATCACTTGTATCAGAGAGTCACGGCCATCACACAGGCGCAGGAGTAGGGCATTTGTAAATAGCCGCCGTTCTTTGCCAGTACGGTAATGTTTTTGTTGGCTCCTTTACGTAATGGGTTTTTGTTCCAATTCATTTACATCTCAGTTTATGCGTAGTATTAACTGTAGTTAACACGCACGCAACGCTCTCTCAGCGCTTGCCCGCCTGCGTTTACTGCACATAACGTTAGCACTCAACATTTACCCGTAGCGATGCCGCTACTTCACACTACACTCCACATCTACCCGTAGCGCGCGCTGTTGTTGAGCTGCCCACACCGCTGTGCACGTGACACGGGCACAGTTTGCGCCACGCAGGAACATGTTCCCCTCCAGCTCTGTCGACAGCTGAACCCACCAGGGCATCTGACCCCATATGTGCATGCACTCGTGTTCTTTGTTCCTGTTGTTGCTTACCACTCTCACTTGCTGTTTGCTCCAACACTAGCCCTTTGCCAAATTTTCCCCATCCCAACCCACCCAATTTGGCGTGGTACTAGTATCACAGTACTCATTACTACATACTATCCGAGTCACAAATAAATTAGGAACTCACGGAAAGGGTGGCATTCACATGGAGTGGGTGGCTGCAAAGCACCCCGTAAGCCTTCTTTGAGCTGACACCCAACTCCAGGTTACCAGCCCCTCTTCCTACCATGCAGATGTCCGGGTGAAAGCGTAACCCCGTTAGCAGCCTACTTCCACATCTGCCCTACCATGTGGAAGTGCGGTGTAAGCATAACCTTGTTAGCGGCCCCCTCCACATTCGTCCTACCATGTGGTGGCCTGGGTGTAAGCCTAACCCCATTTCCCCCGCGTGAGTTCCAGTCTAGCCCAAACCTTGTCTTCAATGTCTGTGGGTGCAGTGGGATGTTAATAGTATTTAAATTGGTTGTTATAGTTTACTGCACTCATATATGAGTTTGGTTGATGATACGCACAATTATTTCGCCCGTCCAAGAGGTACCCTATCGTTCCAACACCTCTCACAAGCTAAAACGTATTTCCAACTTGCTACGTGTGGACTTTTCTTAGCACACACCAAACCATTAAATGTAGGTCTGCAGTGTACGGCAAACTGTAGTTATCGCGGACAACCGAGCAGCAGGCAAAATGCGGGTGTCTAGCATGCAATGGTGGGCAGCCGTACGAAAGCCCAGCTCGCACCATGAGTACGCCCATATGTGCAGACGAGACTACCCCATATATGCATACGAGCCTGATTCCACAAGGTGTGGAAGTGCAACAGCACATATGCGCGACCAGCCTCGGAACTAAACTGAACCCCGCCTGAACCGAGAGCCACACCCGTGCACCGTGAATGGCAGCAGTGAGCACTCAAGATCTGCTTGAGGAGCGACTCAACCAGAAGGGAAGAGAGAACAACACATTACTACACTATGTGTCGGAACGTCAGCGAGAGGACCTCCCTTCACTCACACGAGCCCCTGTCCCGTCAACCACTCCGATCCTAGAGGTGCTGCGTATTGGCAAACCGAGAGAGGGCGCACAAATGTACGCCCCACACCAATCCTAATCAAAACACACAGCTCTGGAAAAGCCTCTCTGCTTAAGCTTACCTTTGCGCACATCTGGTATGGCCGTAGTCCCCAAAAAGATGGTGGCCGCCGATTAATTATGCATTTGTCTGCCCCAGCTGGGAATAGCGTTAATGACTTTATCAACCGAGACACGGTTTCGTTTTCCATGATTTCTGTTGATACCATATGTGAGCACGTTAAGAGAATTGGCCCAGGTGCGCTTCTGTGTAAGGTTGACTGGAGGCATGCGTTTAGAATCATCCCGGTCCACCCTGATGACCGGCCCCGCTGCTGGCCATGTGTTGACGAGGCAAATTTTATTACGACACGGTGCTACCTTTTGGCTTACGGTCTTCGCCCTTTATTTTCAATCGTTTTGCTGATGTACTGGCGTGGATTTTACGTGAAACCACGCTGTTGAGAGCATTTAGCATTGTAAGGCAAGTCTAAAAACAACAGAACCCTAGAGCATAGCTCAAGCCCTTACCGTAAAGTCGCGGATAAAAGCCGGGCTTATAAGCACATAAGCCGCTTTCCGCATCAGGCTTCAATGCAAACCAGGCTTGTATGCAAACCATGCTTATATGCACCACTGATATTTTTGCCAGGCTTGTATGCACATCGGCCGATCCGGGCTTGCATAGAAGCCAGGCTTCTACGCGCGACACGCGTAGATTTACCACTGACTACCGGTATGGCGGCAGTTTTACTATGCACTGTCCATAGCGCATGCACTCTTGACCTACCCGATCCGCGCTTGCATAGAAGCCAGGCTTCTACGCGCGACAGGCTTATATGCATTGACCCGTTTGATTTTCAGGCTTCTATCCGCGATGTGCTTGTATGCAAACCCGGCTTTTATCCGCGACTTTACGGTATGTCATTTCAAGCAAATTTCAGAAAATGAAATCGATCGTAGTCATTGACCACTAGCCACCTCCAACACCACCACGATCTTAGATGATGCAAACTGAAGTGGAGCGTCTACACATCAGAGAGGGAAGCATGATCACTTGGAGAAAATCCCAACACCGCAAAGTTCCAAAGTGTGAAAACTGGCACGGTATACTGTATCGAGGCTTAGATGAATACTGCAAACCCCGAAGTCGAGTTGTGCGTGGAAGTTTCGAGAATACTTGCTCCTACCTGAACTGCTTGACTGTAGGGGCCAATGTTAGCCGATGCCCAGTGTGATACGCTCTGCACGTGAAGATGCTCCCGGTGCCACCGATGAACGTGTGCTGTGTCATCATCGCCGCTAGCGCTGTTAGCATTGCCGACAGCGCTGCTGCTAGCTTGATTAGTCAGAGTAACACATGCCAGACGCAGGTGACACGGCAGGTTGAGACCAACACACGCTCTATATACAAACACAAAAAATAAAGCACAGACAAAGAAGATGTAAGATGCATGTGTGCCAGAACAAATCATAGAACATACGATTTATTCATGGTAAGGAGGAAAGACGAATTGGTACGAGTTTGGTCCACCTGTGTAACCAGATCATAATACGGTGAGATAGTGCGACCACTAGGCACAGAACTGGCAGGGGGTACTGAGAGGCATTCAACGACCTGATGGACATTAGTGGACCGTTAGTCATATTGGTGAAACGAATATCAAAACCCAGTAGCCAAATATTCTTTGGCTTAACGAACGAACATTCTTTCGTTAATACGGATGACATCACACGCCCTCCTCTCGGTCATTTTATTGCATATTGTCACTATCATTAGCCATGACATACAGAGGCGCATATTTCTCCATCATTTCTAGTCAATTTTTACAAAATCCCCAGCTGAAGTGCATTATTTCACAGGCTAAAAAAACCCAGCTTGAAATGTGATTTTCGTTCGAGCGCTATTTCTCCACTCCAGGACCTTAGACCGCGTTCAGGTCGCTTCGAGACGACTGCTGAGAGTTTTGTAATGCCGATAGACCTTTCGATGTAGCGATTCGGTCAAGTATTCGCGAAGTTACGGAAGTTTGAAGTCATCCAGTAAACTCTGCATACCGGGTTAACGAATATTCGCCATGAGAAATATTCGTTTGAATGTGCCAAACCGAACGAATATTCGAATATTCGGTATATTCGTTTCACCACTAGTTAAGTCATAAGTTACTCATAACTCATACCAATTTGTCTTTCCTCCTATCCATGATTGATGACTGGCTCACCATCCCAGTTCACCTTAGCACATGATCTTATCATTTGCCAATGCATAGCCAAATTTGGGCTTCACGCCTTTTACAAATAAGAGGTGCCGTGTTATTCGAACTAGGGGGGTGTAACAATGACAGGGCATCAGCATCAGCATCAGCAACAACAGTAGCAAACAAATGCAGCAACACACTCACCTGGCCGGCGGACCCTGGCTGAATGTCCTGCAGTAGACATCATTGATCGGCTTGAAGTTGGACATGTCTCGAACGTAGAGCTGAACTTGACATACATCACATAGCCTGGCATTGACAGCACTCAACTTCTCTGCAATACACGATCGTGCACAGTACACACACACACACGCACGCGCGCGCGCACGCACGCACCCCCCCCCCCCCCCCCCCCACACACACAGGAGAATATAGAAACAGGAAAGGGAAATAAGAAATGAGAAGGCTTTGAGGACCCAACAAAACACGACTATTAGCAGAAGGTCACCTTTCATTCACTGATGAACAAACAGTTATCAGCCAGTACTACACATAACTGTTATAGTAACCCTTGCCATGTAGACCACTCTGATAAGGTGACCGCCTGGCCTAGAGCTGTAGAGGGCTGTTTCTCTAGAACCAAAGGGCATCCCTTTCTGACCCAGGGTAAGGAGATCACTTGTGATCGAGACCCCATTTCAGGGGGGGGGGCACTATGTAACGGTGTTGACAAGTTGAAGTAAATTAAAACATCCAGCTGTTCAATTTATCAGTGCAACGTTACTTTCATGGTGTGTGTGAAAAGTATGGTGCAACAGAACATACGCCACGCAGACATAAGCCAGCACACAAACAGAGAAGATGATGTAAATTCACAGAAGACACGCAGAACGCTACAGGGGACACGTCCTACCTTGTAAAGTTGCCAGCGCACGTTCAGCCTGCTCACACGCACTCCGCACTTCGGCGGAGGTTGAGTCCACAACAATCCATCTCAGGCATGGTGATGTGTCAGCAACGCGTGTCATGTCACCTGCTGAACCAGTAGACTCTGCGCAGGTGGCGTACACGGGTACGCTTAGTACTGGAACTGCCGGTTCAGACTGGTCAGCGCATATACGCACGCATGCACACGCAAACGCACGCAAGCCCACCCACACATGTACACATGTGCACACACGTGCGCGCACACACACACACACACACACACACACACACACACACACACACACACACACATGCGAGCACATACATACAATAAATGAAAAAAACTGCTCTAGAACTATGTACACAAGATATACAGTAATCACGATACGTACACCAATAAGCCTTTTGCGCGTTGTACAGATGCACGAAATCCCGTAGAATCCCGTAGAACCTAATGGGTGTTGAATGTGCAGGACCCTATTGTGTTTTCTGCTATTTCCACTAAGAAATGGGCCCTGAAGGCATTTCAAACGAAAACCTTTTCTGACAAAGATCTAGCCAGTCATTAGTTCTAACCAAAGTGAAGAAACTGGAATAGGGATTGTTTGCCATTAATTATTAGGCTAAAATTGGTCAAATGCGCATGCATAGCACACAATGAACACCCAATCGGTTCTGTACACACCTACGCCCTAGTACTGAACTTCGTACATCTGTACAACGCGCAAAAGGCTTATTCACTTCCTCGTCGACTATACTGGAATACAGTCAACCTTGCGAATAACGATCCTCAATCGTGCATGAGAAAAGTGTTGTTATTCGTGAGGTTGAACAGTATGTAGTCAAAATGGTCACTAGGTCTGAAGATTGTGTGAGTTATTCGAGAGTTGTTCTTATATCCGAGGTCAATATTCACGAGGTTGACTGCAGCACCATTCACAGCTTCCAATGTTGAAGGATTGACCGCCGCTTTCTTACAGTAGATGTGGCTTTATCTGGCCAACAAATCCCTTGCATTCCCCACACATACATTAGTAACATAGAACGATCACAATCGCACACAAGAAAGGAAAAAAAGCAGACAAAGAAATACGGGCATGGAAAACACAGACTGGGTGGTGGAAAACAGCATACCCAGTCAGCAGGCTTGAGATGCAGTGGTTCTGGTTCATACGCAGTGCGTACTGGTGTCCACGGTGTGCTTGAAACCTATGACGAACAAACCAATGAATCAAGGGCACACTGAGAATCGAGCTGCACACAAAGGACTGTACACCAGTAGCATGGCCAGCGAGTTCATCCAAGTCAATCAGTCAGCAAAGAGTACTAACCCTTGGAAGTCAGCTCTTCAATGCCTATGGTCGGTCTATGGTCAATTAGTGGTAGCTACCCAGGTAGTGCCTATAGGGACATGATTGCAAAGCAATTCTGCAACAGTGTCACAGGCCGGTGCCGGTGGTGGAGGTGTACTGGTACTCAGACTGACCTCTTTCTCGACGACGTTGACAGAAAACTTGAGATACGCAATAGGAGCAGACGGGTCACTGGATGGGTCTTCAACGACTTCCGTGCTATGCCTGATCAATAGCAAAGGAATGAAAAGACAAACACATGCACGAATACATAAACACACACACACACGCGCGCGCGCGCGCGCGCACACACACACGCAGATACACGTTGAAGCTGAATCAGAATGAGAAAATGACTTAGTTCGTGGCAAGTGGTTGGTGCCGGTGTTACATCGAATGGGCGCCTTTTCAGCATAGCTCAAGTGACAAGTTTAACAAATTGGCTAAAACCAGTGTCAAAACGCTTCACGGTGGTGGTGGATGAAGATGCGGGAAACGATTGACTCTCGATGTGTGCGTCAGTCTATAACATGTGCTGGCCGGGTGGAAGAAAGTTGTTCTTGTGGCACAGTTCTTGGGTGGGTGGTCAGACCTCACTGGCCAGCACCGCACCAACACCAGCCATCTGTATCTATGCATGGGCCGGCACCAGCCATCTGTATGCATGCATGGGCCAGCACCAGCCATCTGAGTCCATGCTTGGGCTAACACCAGCCATCTGTATGCATGGGCCAACACCAGCCATCTGTATCTATGCATGGGCCAACACCAGCCATCTGTATCTATGCATGGCCAACACCAGCCATCTGTATCTATGCATGGCCAACACCAGCCATCTGTATCTATGCATGGGCCAACACCAGCCATCTGTATCTATGCATGGCCAACACCAGCCATCTGTATCTATGCATGGGCCAACACCAGCCATCTGCGTCCACACATGGCCCAGCACCACAACACAGTTATCATACACCACACACCATACTCAGCACACTCACCACACCGCACTGCACTGTCTGCACTACTACTTACATGACAAGGCGCTTGTGAAAGAGAGGAGAGTCCAAGGTGAACGTCTCATACTCCCCACCCTCACCACACACGTTGATCTGGTAGCGATCATGCTGTACATGAAGAAGAACAGATTAAATGTAGGAGAGTGTCAGTCCCATTAGCCATGGCCACGTGCATGTCCTCAATGATCATAAGTAAAGCAAGTACGGACACAGTACAGAAGATAAGGTTTTGAAACTTGACGTGCAAAACAAATGAATGCAGCATATGCCAAATACCCAGACAAGTGGACATATCAGTTGGTGAGCCAAAGAAATATTAGTTGGTGGCAAGTCTCTAATGCAAGACTTGCACCCCGCTATTTTCCATACTCTCAATGTACAAAAAAACGGATGAAACCCTTAGCTGGGCACGTGCTATGCTTACGAGTCTAAGAAGGTCTGTTTGTATTTCCCCAAGGGTTTTACCGAGATGCTTGGAGGGCTTCAGACCTAAGCAAAGAAAGGAAAGAGCAAAAGCAAACTATGAAAAAACTCCTATCACCTCAACACACAGAACACACCACCTTTGAACTGTCCTGCAGTGGGCAAGTGACTAGAAGAACAGAGTGATTTCTGATTTCAAATGCTTCACACTCCCGTCAGCACTCAAGCATGATGCTAATGACAACCGCACACGTGCATGTACATGCATGTATGAGTACAGACACAGACAGACACACGCACACACGAACGCACACACACACACGCACGCACGCACACACACACGCATGCACAAACACA